CTCCTCGAGCTGTCCACGACGCTCACGCTTCTCTCTTTCAATTCTCTCGCGCTCGGCTGCAGGAAGCATCTTCTTGTACTCGACTCTCAACTTCCTGCCCTGAAGTTCAAAGTGGTTCATGGCGTCGATGACAGCGGCAGTCTCATCGGGCGAGGTGAAGTTGGCGAAAGCCAATCCGCGGAAAACACCATTGTCGAAATGGTAGTTGAAAGCGTAAGGAAGAGGAAGACCCATGTCGGTCATCAACTGGACCAGCTGTTCTTTCTTGACGGCGAATGGAATGTTCTTGATGACAATGGCAGTAGGGATGAGCTCCTCATCAGGCTCAGAGCCAAGCTGATCCGATCTAATTGATGGTGCACCAAGAACACCTCCACCGAGGCCAAGGTAGGGAGAAACTTGAGGCATAGGTTGAGGCTGGTCGAGCCAAGCCTGTCCACCCGCATTAGTCAGACCCAGTCCATATTGATGGGAAGCCGCGCTAGAGCTTACCGAAGGAAGACCGTTTCTCGGGGCCTGTTGCGGTCCGCGTCTGCGCTGGGAAGCACCCAAAGCGCCGATGGTGTTGTTTCCAAAGGCGGCGCTGTTCCAGTTCTGAGCACCCATGTCGTATCCACCATAGTTTTGGTTCATGTTCTGGTTCATATTCTGATTCATGTTCTGGTGCATGTTGGGNGGAGCGCCCATCCTGTCGTTGTAGCGAGGAGCATCAAAACGTTGCTGCTGCTGATCCTCGGCGCCGTAGAGACCCGAGGGCAGGTGAGCGTACGAGTCGAATTGGCGCGACGACTGGCGATGCAGCTGAGGCTGGTGGCGCTGCACATGGGGAGAGCGACTTGCAGGGGGATTGTCGTAATACATGTCCGGTTGCTGGAGACTCATGATGTCTGTCGACAGGCAAGGTCGAAGGAAGAGAATTCGACAAAAAAGAGTTTAGAGTTGTCGGGGGATGTGATTTCAAAAGCGTTTAGACAGACCAAAAGTGTCGAAGACGTGTGACCCCGGCTAGCTCGGTGACCTTGTAACGGCAGAAACGGGATGCCTGAAGAATTGCAGGACAAGCAGTGCAGCGAGGGCTGGAATGCAACAAGACACAAAGGGGACTTTGCGAGGGCGTCGAGATGAGAGGGACGTTTTTCCTGAAGACAACAGCCGGGCGTCGTTGTGTCTGTAGCTGGCCAACTTGGTTTCTTTGTCGTCAGTCGTTTTTCGTGGCGGGGCGTGATCTCATAAGCCCGTGGAATCAGACCAGAAGCGCGAGAACAATGCAGGGGGACCTCTACTAAACCAGCAGTCGACAAGGAGATGAGAAGCAGGTTTTGGGAGTTGGAGCAGGGAGGAGAGAAGGTGTTCGAGAGAGGATTTTGCGATGGCCGCGAAAGGTCGATGTGGGTACTGCGCAGCTTGGCGTTATGATGCAGCAAAGCAAAACAGCCTTGTGGTCTTTCTCTCTCTGGCTCCGCAAGCCGTGCAACGCTCGAGTCGGATATCACAGTCTCCGTAACAACTAAAAGATCGAGGGATATGATGCTGAAACAGATCAACAGAGATGCACCATCACAGCACCGTTTGGGCACTCTCCATTCAAATAGCTTTATATATGCAGACCCCTGCTTCGAGACAGAGAATTTCACACCATGGCCGTCAGCGGGAGCACACTTCCTCACCAAACACAGTCGCAGAGAGGCCCGCGCCCGCCCTCGGTGTGCATCGGTAAAGGCCACGACATTTGCTTGACCCTGAGTCCTGGCCACCGACTCTAAAACAGCCCGCCGGACTCCACTCGGCAGTCTTGTCGATTTTCGTCTCCATACAGCATGCCGTCATGCATTCCGTCGCATACTAAAGTCGCTGACCTGTTCTCGCTATTTGTTGTTGTTCATCTTGGCTACTTTTCCATCGTGACCGGTCGAGCCCAATTGGCCGCCCATCAATCCCCAAGAATTCTCCAGGCCTGCCTTGCTGCAGCGCGCCGGCAGCTGATCCCAGAGCCACTGCGCTAGAGCCTCGCATGGGCGTATGCTTTGACCTTCTATGTGCTTCTAAGTCGTGAGACGCCGGCCACGAAATGGTCTTTGACCTTTGGCAACTGCCTAGTCGTTGTTTTGCTCGTCCTTCTTCCGCTTCTTCCGCGCTGTCTCTCTCAATCAAAGACTACACGAATAGTTAAATCGCGCACTGAGAAAGCAACATAGATTCCCAGTTGATCCAAATGCTATGAACTACTGTAGGCTTCATCTCCAATGGTCCGGACCGCATGTCGGCGTTCGCTCTTGAACCCATCAGGGTCTGTCAGGCATCTGTGCTGCTTACTTTGGCAACAATCCTGCCGACTCCAACTCGCTTTTCTAGAACGCCGTTTCATCATCTTGCCTATCGACAGGTCAGAATGTGACCCTCGTCTGTTGCTTGCGTTATGCGGCAAGCGGGCCGTACCCTCCTGCCTTGCATGCATATGTGACACGAGATTCCAGGTCGCTTCATGTCTTGATGTCGACGACTCGGTCTCAAGAGTCGATAGCTCTGTTGTCGATTGTCAAGAGTTTGTGCAACAAGACATGCGGTTGTAGACCTCTACCCGAACCAACTGCGCTAAACAGCCTCTACTGAATCCTTCCGTCCACTCGGGACTTCTCACAATCTATTTAGTAAATGAAGTCACTTCGCGCGGAGACTTCTCGAAGATTGTCATCAGCCTTGTCGATACCTCGAAGGAAATTAAACAATTGTCAAGCAACTTAAGATCGGGCTCTCAATTCTTTCTAGAGGCACTCGTCATGGTTTTCACCTCACTCGATTTCTCGTACGGATGTAGGTGCAGGATGTGATGGATTGTTTGCAGTGCATGAGCATGGTGCATCCGAGCCGCGCGCCTCTGCACATCGCAACCATTCAAGCAGGTTGTACTGGCCGAAGAGAGCCGTCCTTCTACCGCCTGCGCGGCATGAGATTATGCCTGCCAGAGCGCATGCATCATCAACTAGTCATGTGATTGCTAACCATCCTTGGTATAGTTATCCTTGGCCATGACTTTTCCTGCCCATCAACTCCGTCCATGCCATCAATGGCTCCTATGTGCATCTATCTTGCAGAAAAGCCAGCGCATGTCGATCGGCGTGTGCTTGAAAGATGTGATGTGTCTGATGCCTGGTTGGAGAATTGCAGCCCGTACCAGTCCAAACTGGCAACACGACACGTTTGCGCATTCCATCGTCTACTGGTCAAGTGGAACACAGTCGTGTTCCCCACAAAGGACACGATGCCAGGGGATGGTGTCTGATTATAGTAATCGATAAAGCTTGAAGAATTGATCACTCCAAAATGATACAGAAATTGTTCCGTGTCTTTCCAGGATGGACTTCATCTTTTCGAAACCTGTGCCGTTTCTCTGACCCCTTGCCCTGGTAACGCCACAGATAATAGATGAGCTTTGTCGATAGCTTCTTCTTCACCATAGCATAGCCGAGGGTGACCATGATCTGGTTCAAAAGAGTTTCATCCAGATAGCGTGAGTTGATCACACAGGGCGCTGGCAGGACTAAGAAAAGGGACGGGAAGTACTCGGGCGCCGATTCTGATTCACCGAAACCTAAGACGGGCAAAGCTCGCAGAAATTGACATGTCCTTCGCAGCATTTCCCCNCTGCCAAGCGCTTCCGGGACATAGTTCAATACAAGAGATAGAGAGATGATGTCGAATTTGTCAGCGTTTGTCTCTGGGATGGGTCGTTCCATGAAGTCTTGCTGCTCGATTCCAGCAGCCTGTGAGTTCAGATCGATACGCGTCACATCAAAGATGTCAGACTTTGAGCATGCATTGTTGACAGAAAGGGCGCCGACTTCGAGCATACGGATTGTGCGTCCTTTCGGCAGGTCCTTCGGCAACCAGTCTAGCAGAATCCTCGAAGTATCTCCGCCTCGATCGCTGGACTGGCCTTGAATGCTCGCTTGCTGGTAACTCTTCAGACCCCCTTTCTCCTCGATCTGCTGCCGGATGGCTGACGCAGTTTGTTCGTCTCCTTGACGCGTGGCATCGGCGAGGGCTTTGTGAAGGCGATGATGACTTTGAATAAGATCTCTCGTGGCTTTGGATGACAATGATGCTTTTGGCTTCTTGGCTGCTGGAGGTCGACCGTGAGAAAGGCTCACAGGCTTTTGCTTCTTCTTGGTGTTGACCATTTTGTGGAGTCTGGATGAGTGTGGTGATCGTCCTTGACAGCCTCCAAGTAAAGCGGTGATATATGACTTTTTGGCTGACACCCAAGTGAGCGTTGAATATCGTAAACTTCAAAGACCACAGGATATGATACTCTGGCAGAATTATGTCCCTTCAATCTCGACTATTATTTTCACTAGACGAGAAAAAGTGTTCGACATTGGATGCCAAGATTTCGATTAGGCCAGGCGGGCGCGTCGACCCGGAGTTTGACCGAGGGTCGCTCTTTCTCTGTTCGCACTTTGCAAATTCGAATCCGACCAGCGAGCGACTTCTGTAGCAACGACCCCGACAACTCAACGAGATGGCCCCCAAGAACAACACCCAAGGTGCGACTCACCAGGACGAGCGATGAAGGCGGACACCCTACGACGAACGACTTTTCAATTGCGACAAAAATTGTCTTCGCCGGATGTGTTCGACCCCAGGCCTTGATCCTCCTACGAAATTCCGCATACCGCCAGGACACATGGCTAATACACATCGCAGGCGCAAAGAAGGCCACCAAGCCCTCGGCCAAGGCCGGCGCTGCCGCTAAGGCTGCTCTTCGTGGCGTAAGGACTACCTGAAATAGAGGCGTGTCAGCACTCCCATCGCTGACGGCCTATTCTTTTGATTAGGTCAACTCGCACAAGGTCCGCAAAGTCCGCCTGTCGACCACCTTCCACCAGCCCAAGACCCTCAAGCTCTCGCGCGCTCCCAAGTACCCCCGCAAGAGTGTCCAGGCCGAGACCGGTGTCGAGCAGCACAAGGTCCTGATCCACCCTCTCAACACCGAGTCTGCCATGAAGAAGATTGAGGAGAACAACACCCTCGTCTTCATCGTCGACACCAAGGCCAACAAGCGCCAGATCAAGGACGCCCTCAAGAAGCAGTACGACGTTGACACCGTCAAGATCAACACCCTGATCCGGTATGTTTTTTCTCCACCCTGTCTTGTATCTTGCAAGAGCTTCGCTAATACATGTCTTCAATAGCNNCCTGACGGCACCAAGAAGGCCTTCGCCCGTCTTACTCCTGACGTCGACGCTCTTGACATTGCTGCCACCAAGCTCAACATTGTTTAAATCAGTCTACCCCAAAGAAGGCTAGGCGATTTATGCTCTCGTGTCGTGGTTATGATTATGGTCTGCTCAAAACAAAAAGCATTGGCGTTACGTGGGTGTGGGTGGCTGCAAGGAAGCAGGCCCCTTTTCGATACCAGGGAGAAATCCCAAATCTAGTTCATTCATGCCCTCGCCGTCCTGTTTTTCGAACTTCGTGACTTGTATCGTGACATGTATTCATTGTTTATGTTTTGTCCCGTGTCGTACCAGTGGATAATTGCTTTGCTAATGTATTTTCAATCGCCCTTCCTATACATGAACATGCTCTTTGCAAGCCACAATGACCTCTTCTATCCTACATCCCTTCATAGTGTACATTTATATTCATGTCTCGAATCATGCTAATGCGCCCAATCCTTGCTTGCGTTTTTGCCAGCTCACAGGCTCTGACAGTCCGTATTGCCATCCCACCAAAGCCTGAGGATATGGTTCGCGACCTCTTTTGCCTTCATTCTACACATCTCTCTCTTTACATGTGCGTTCTCATCTGCTCCAAGTTCTTGATGACGACGAGGTTTGCATCCATGAAGCGGTCCACGCAGTTTTGCATGCAAGGCTCCTCGCTTCTGTCCAGCTTACCCGACGAAATCTTGCCGGTGATGCACTTGCGGAAACAGGTGTCTGTGAGGGAGTGGATGGCNTGTTTGGGTTCCTCGTATGTCAGTTGTTGATCGGGGGAAAGTAAAAGTAGTCCAGGTAGAGCAGACGTACATTGTTGGATGCGCGCCTTTTGCGACTCGTTGACGACGAATTGTTGCAGGTCTTGCTTTNNTTCGGCGTCGGACATTTTGGAAATGTCGATGTTGCCGCTGCCTAAGGGGTCCATTGTGTGATGTGTATATCTGTGTTTGTGATTTGAAAGAGTTGTGTATGATAGAGGATATGCCGGGTCAGAGTGGTTGTCGAGTTGCCTTTGATGGAGCTTCACGGTTTCTAGAGCTGCGTCATGAAATCCATGGACTTTTGACGTCTTGGCATGGAATTATGATCATGGAAATATTGCAAGACAGACCCAATGAGAGTTGGAGAACAGTAGAATGGGGTATCAATTAAAGAGTATCAATAGAAGCAAAATCGTTCCCACAATGCGTGATTCGTGTAGCCGTCGTGCCAACTCTTACTCACGCTGTAGCCAACTTGGACAGTCTTCTAGCCTCGATGCGTGCTTGTGCTTTGGCTAACCTGTCATTACTCAGACTGGCGATTCTAGCTCCAGTCTTGGATGGGCTGGCTGTGGGTTTCATCTCAGGCTTGCCCGAACCAAAATTCAGCGCACCAACACCCAAAGGCAGAGCAAGACGATCGAACTGTGGTTTCTCTGGCGAGTACTTCTCAACCAGTTCATCTATCGTCATATCTGCTGTCGACTTCCTGTTACTGCGAGGCGTAGCACGAGGCAAGGGCTCGGGAGATGGAAGAGGTAGTGACACGTCCATAGTGTCTTCGCTAAGACGCTTCATATGAACACTCCTGACCACCTTGGGCTTTCCGTCCTTGGGTGTTTGACCTTGGATGTTCATGTCTCGTGCGCGCAGAGGTGAGTGATCTTTGTCTGCGGCGTCGTCCACGAAAGGACTCGACATGGCGACATTGGCCCAAAGATCACCTGCTGGAAGTGTCTTTGGCGTTTTGCGTTTTGGACTGTTGGCAATACCGCTCTTCTTTCCCAGCACTTGGTCAAGATCGTGGCGAAGATGTTCGTTCTCAGCCTTGAAGTTTGCGATGTCCTTCTGCGTGTCTTGGCTTGTCTGGCCCGTCATCTTCTTCTCAAACGCCTTCATCTGTGCAGCAAACTCNTTTGGTCTTGGCCTCAAGCTTCTCGACTTTGAGTCTTTCTTGACGGAGCTGGGTCTGCAAGTTGGCGACTTCCTCCTCCTTTTCCTTCGCATAGTCCTTTGCAGCTTTCTGCTTGATGACCAGTTTCTTCATTTCGCGCTGAGTGTTTTCGGCGTATGCTTCGTACTCTCTCTTCCAGTATTTTCCTGATTGTGACCGGGGCTCCATATAGTCCATGGTNNCAGGTCGGTGTCGTCTTTTGCCTTCTGGATCTGGTGCGTCTTGCTCTTTTGCGCCGAGTCGCGAACCTCTTGGAGTTGGGCAGTGAGCTTAGTGCGCGCTCTGTTCGAAGTTGAACCTGACTGTGTGAGGCCATCGCCAGAGAAAGCGCTAGGCAGGCCAGTCCTGTCCTGTTTCTTCGACTCATTGTCCACGACCTGAGTTCCAAAAGACACAGTCTTGCTTCGTCTGGTAGTCCCAGGAGTCATGAGGATGCCATTAGGTTTTGTGGGCGACAGTCCAGGTGCCGAGGGGAGGGTAATTGCATCCGTATCGTCTCTCGATCGTGTAGGCATTTCGAGAGTCATAGTGCGAGGCTTGGAATCGATTTCGACAGACTGTCTAGTTACGATTTCTTGTACGTAGTTTGCCTCGTTGGGTGGAGCAGGGGTGCCGAAGATGGCATGCTTGAATGCGCGTGCTGCAAACACATGGGCCGGTGTCTCTGGCGCCTCGGGAAAGGCATCTGCTACTGATTAGACTTGCTCGTCTGGATAGTGGAATTGATAGATACCCTCGGCCTCTTCAAGGTCCTTAGAGCCCGTAATCCAGGAAAGCATGACGTGCGATGGTATCGTCGACGACTAATCTCGTTTGCGCCTTGAGTGAAGGAGCGTGGATGGCTTTGTTTACACCTGAATTCTGCCACGCTAATACAGTACGGCCCGCTCACCGCCTATATAGCCACGCGGGTTCATCTTCCACCGCTTCCAATCAATCCGTGTATGTTCCTCTGATAACCACTCCTTTCCTTTCCTATACCAATAAATATAACAGAGAAATAATGTCGGCCACAGCGTAAAAAAGTGTGGCTTCGGCTGCACTCTTCTTGCATAATCTTGGTAGTGTCCCCTGGCACTTTTACCACCCACGCTCATGACCACCTTGTAAGGATGGCTCCAAAAACGCCTGCAAAGACGTCTACCAAAGCCCGCAAACACAATGAACCAACCGCTCCCAAACCTTCCGCCTCGACTCCAGCAGCAGATGGCCCTCACGTCAACTATGCAGAGGTCCAGGCTGAGGAGATCGACGTCCTCCAAGCCATCTATATGGAAGACTATGAAGAAGTAGAAGTCAAGACCGCCTGGAGCAAGAGCTCCGACCGCGCATTCAAAATCAGGCTGAAAGCCTTTTCTGATGAATCTACCTTTGTCGTTCTATCCGCAAAGTTGACGGCAACCTATCCCAAATCTGCGCCTGTGCTTCAGATAGAAGGCTTGGACAAGTTGCAAGCTCAGGCCAAAAAGCGTGTTCAAAACATTGTCAAGATCAGACCAGCCGAGATGGCCGGCGAAGTCATGATACATGCCATCGCATCCGACATCCAGGATGCTCTTGAAGATGCGGTCCAAGCTAGAGAGCAGGGTGTATTACCCAGTCTTGACGATGAACGCATGAATCAGGAGGCTGCCGCGTTCGACCAAGCCAAGGAAGCAGAAGAAGATGAGGCCAAGAGAGTGCAGGCTGCCCAGGACGAGGAAGAACGCATGCTACAGAAAATGGTCCAAGATGAGGTCGAACGCCGTGAGTCCAAACGACGCGACCGATCTTCTCGCACTCAGACAGGGTCAAGTCCGCACCCTTCGGTTGATGACGACAATAATAACATTATCAACTTCGATCAAGCCGTCGCGCTCGGACCTGGTGTAGAAAGCGCCCCTTTCAACACTGTTGCCATGGTTGCGCCTATTGCTTCCAAGGGCCAGATGAGTATTTACGCTGCTCAACCCAAGTTCTCGAGAGGCTCCTTCATGAGTCCGACTATGCTCGCAGTTCGCCGTTTGTCCTTGAAGATAGTACACGGTGACGCTACGAGCAAGAACCATTTATTGGCTTTAGAAGAAGAGCTTGAAGCGCTGAAAGTACTTCGTCAACCCAATATCGTCAACGTCTATGCTTTCAGGGTCGGAAAGCCTGAGGGAAGAGATGGAGGACTGAACCAAGATTGGGATGTTTCAGTCTTGTCAGATCTTGCCAATCGAGGAAGTCTTGCCGAGATGCTCGAAGACGGCAACACTGTACCACCCGCCAAAGCAAAGCAATGGTCTCTAGATTTGCTTGAAGCCTTGGATTACTATCACCGTCACGGCATTGTACACAAACGCATACACAGCGCCAACGTCTTGCTATTTCGATCAGACACCGGAGTCACTGCACCGAAACTAGCAGACGCTGCTTATGAAGACAGGCTACTCAGGCTACAAGGTCGAGCAAGCACACTGGAAAAAGGCAAGAAGATGGCAGCATGGCTTGCACCCGAGTGCTCTGGAGAAGACGTCACCTTCACTCGACGAAGCGATGTTTGGGACTTTGGTGTCCTGCTTGTTCAGATGCTCTTTGGTACTGCTATGACTCGCAAGTACAATGGTCCAATGGCCATGCTTGAGTCTCTTGATCTCTCTGAACCTCTCAGCGATGTTTTGCGCAGAGTATTCAGCAAGGAACCAAAGAACAGACCTACGGCCTTTGAGCTGATCCCTAGCGAGTTCTTCCGCAGCGACTTGCCCATAATCAACACGGAGTTCTCCAAGGGTCAACGCAGACAATCCTCCTCCATGGGCTTCTCGGGTGACTTCAAGAGCCCTATTGCTAGGCGCTCTAGGCAGAATTCTCAGAGCGTTGGCGAAGGTCCAGTGTTTTCAAGATATACCAAAGACTTCACCGAGCTAGGTCGCCTCGGTAAGGGTGGCTTCGGTGAAGTTGTCAAAGCCCGCAACAAGCTTGATGGCGGAGTCTACGCTATCAAGAAGGTCAAGCAAGACTCGGCTGCGCAACTTGAGCACGTTTTGTCCGAAGTCATGCTTCTGCATAGACTCAATCATGCTTATGTGGTCCGTTACTATTCGGCCTGGGTTGAGGACGACTTGTCTGGCATGGTTGAATTGGATCAGGAGTCTGTATCGTTCGCAGAAGACATGACGACTTCCTCGGGCGATGGCATCCAGTTCGGCATGAGCAGTCGTGGCTTGGACTTTGTCAGCTCGAGCGGTCTTGGTGATGACATTGTCTTTGGCGAAGACAGCGATGATGATGAAGAAGAAGAAGAAGAAGAAGAAGAAGAAGGAGAAGAGGAAGACGATGACGACGACGAGGATTCAGCGTCTGGAACGGAGACCGATGGTCGCGTTACAAACGGAAGGTCCATCTTCAAAAATGGCGTGCCCTCAGAGAGTGCCATCAGCGATGGCGAGGATACCGACTCGCGACCTCGGAGAACACATCGCGCCTCATCTCGTCGTTTTATGCGCTCTACGCTTTATATCCAGATGGAATATTGCGAGAGACATACTCTTCGAGATTTGATCAGGAAAGACATGTACGCGAGGCCCGAACAAGGCTGGCAAATGCTCCGACAAGTTCTCGAAGGTCTTGCTCATATCCACAATCATGGCATCATCCATCGTGATCTCAAGCCCGACAACATCTTCATCGACGTTGCCGGCAACCCTCGTATCGGAGACTTTGGATTGGCAACGACAAGCCAGTATACCAGCGCCGACAAAGTCATGGCCAGCACTAACACAGGTGCCGACATGACCAGGAGTGTCGGAACTGCCATGTATGTTGCGCCCGAGATCAAGTCCGGTTCTGGAGTGAACTACAACGACAAAGTCGACATGTACTCGCTCGGCATCATATTCTTCGAGATGTGCTTCCCACTCCGGACAGCCATGGAGCGTCATGAGGTATTGTTGAAGATGAGAGAAAAAGAGCACGTCTTGCCTTCCGAATTCCAAGCCCCCGAAAAGGTACTTCAAGGCAACATCATCATGGACTTGATCAGTCACTCTCCTGGCGATCGCCCAAGCAGCTTGGAACTCCTTAGAAGCGGGAAGTTGCCGGTGCAGATCGAGGACGAGACTATACGACAAGCCTTGCAGAGTCTCACCGACCCGGGATCAGAGTATTACCAGAAGATGATGACAGCTTTGTTCACCCAGACACCCGATCAACGAATCAAGGACTTTGCGTGGGATGCCAAAGCCAGCAAGGAACCACCGACAGCCGAAGACTTCCGCGTAAGAGACATTGCCAGAATTACCCTCTGTTCCATATTCCGCCGGCACGGAGCCGAAGAGACTCAACGCCCTTTGCTGCTTCCTCGATCTAGCTACTACACTGCACCCAATATTGTTCAACTCTTGGATGGCACAGGTAACCTCTTACAACTGCCCTATGATCTGGTCCTGCCGCATGCAAGACGTCTTGCCAAACAAGAACCCTCGGTCGAAAAGACGTTCGTCTTTGGCAACGTCTTCCGCGATACTCTCAGCGGAGGTCCTCCTAGAACGATCAAGGAAGTCGACTTTGATATTGTGACCAAAGAGAGCGATGATCTTGCTCTACAAGAAGCAGAAGTCCTCAAAGTAGTTGACGAGATCATCGATGAGGTCCCGGCGCTATCCTCGCAGCCCATGTGCTTTCATCTGAGCCATTCTGATCTACTAGAGCTCATTCTTGACTTTTGTCGCATCGACAAGTCTCAAAGACCGATTGTTAAAGAAACACTCAGCAAGCTAAACATCCATCAGTTTGGCTGGTCGAAGATACGTGCTGAACTTCGCTCACCCTTGATCGGCATCCACTCTACATCTCTGGACGACTTGGCACAGTTCGACTTCCGTGAGACTCCTGACAAGGCTTTGAGAAAGATGCAAGAGATCCTTGAGGACAGCACTCATGCTAGCAGGATCAGAAGACCCATGGAGCACATTAAGCGTGTGGTTGATGCTATGAAGCTCTTCGGCATTCGGCGCAAGATATACATCTGTCCCTTGAGCAGCGTCAACGAGAAATTTTACACAGGAAGTGTATTGTTCCAATGCATCTATGACAAGAAGAACAGAAACGTCTTTGCTGCAGGCGGAAGGTATGACCGACTCATTGATGCCCATCGCTCTCGCGCCCATGCCACAAGTGAGGCGTGTCATGCTGTCGGCGTCAGCATCGGCTGGGATGGCCTCATTGCCGCAATCATGAGGCACAAGAAGAATGCAATCAACAATGCATACCTCAAGAAGGGTCAAGAAGAGTCACTGAGCCCAGTTTGGAACGCAAAGCGCTGCGACATCCTCGTAGCTTCTGGTGACCCAACCGTCCTCCGTTCCACCGGCATCAAAGTACTCTCGAGTCTATGGGCCAACGACTTTAGCGCCGAACTAGCCACAGATGCACGAACCATTGATGATGTGCTCAGCAAGCAGCGAGACGCATCCCATCCCTGGATCGTCATGGTCAAGCACGAAGCCTCCAGCACCTTCAAAGTCCGCAACAGCACCACAGACACCGAGACCGAAGTCGCCAGCACGAATCTGATCTTGCACATGCGCTCTGAACTGCGCGAGCGAGAGTCGCGCGAGGCAGGCAACCACCGTTCTCGCCACCACCCATCACTCATCCGCCATTCCTCTCACCACAACGAAGGTAACGGTAACAGCGAGCGCGGTAAGAACAACGTCCAAGTCCTCATGGCCCAGCACCGCGGCAAGAAAAGCAACAAATACCACATTGTGGAAGCCGCGCAACAGCGCTGGGCCTCCTACATCGACACCTGGAAGTCTGCGCCCATCCTCGCCATCGAAGGACGTGAAGGCATTGTCGACAACATCCGCGACGAGACTCGACTCTCGGATCCGGATTCGTGGCGGAAGCTGATTCAGAGCACGCCACTTGCCGAACGTCAGTATTTGGCTCAAGTCCATGAGTTGCTGTTGGAGATGAGGAAGAAATGGGAGCAGCAGGAGGAAGGGGCCAGTAGAGAGGCTTGTCTGTATAACTTCAGGACTGCCAATTGCGTTTACTATGATCTTGGGCTGTAGAAAGGAATGCGTTTTTGCATAGATTAGGAAGGGTCATAGCGGTCATGGTCACCTCTTGCTCATAGTCAAAAGCAGAATAGGAAATCTTTTGTTCTCGCTTATTCTTCCAGCAACGTCGGTGGATGTGAGAGTTTTCGTTCTGATATTTCTATCATCTGAGACCAATTCAAGCTGCGCAAGACACAGCACTGGAGACCCATGCTAATTACACAGTCATGCAACGCACCAACACCACCCGCTTGAAAAACTGCTCGATTGAATAAATGCTCATGATCTCCTCTTGCTCCAGACCTTGATGAAGGCGATCTTATCTGCTGGGACCAGACCTAGACGCTTGACACGTCCCAGACGAGCGAGCGACTCGGCAATCTTGTCCAGAGACTCCTTCTCCGGGTTGGTCATGCCCCCGTTCTGGTTGGTACGCGAATGTAAGTCGTCGAGAAGGTTGGTCTGGAAGGAGTTCTTGCGTGGTGGCTCAGGAGCTGACGGCTCGTTGAAGGTGGCCTCGGCGATACGAACACGTATGCAGTGAGTTGGCTTGGAGCACAGGTTCCAAAGGAAAGAGAGATAAGAGCCAGGTACAGGGGTGGTGACATCTGCAGGAGTGTAGCGCAGACTGACAGGGAAAATCTTGGTCTTGATGGGCACGGTGAGAAGACTAGGGCAGAAAGGTAGGATGCCACGGCCGTTGGTAGCAGTGCACTCTGGGAAGACAGCAACACAGCGGTCCGGGGTGTCGCGTAGAATATCAGAGATGGGCACCAATTTGGCGTCCTTGGGCGGTGACAGAACAGGTGGAGTCAGAGCCTGCAACATAGCCTGGAGCAGAGTGATGCGCTGAACGTTGCGCTCTCCAGGAAAAGAGCGAGTAAAGACAGGGTCGAAGATGGCAGCCAGGTAGAGAGCGTCAATCGGAGACGTGTAAGATGAAGCAATGACAGAGCCAGGCTGAGGAAGCTTGTTTTGGTTCTGGCCAAGGGAGCTGAAATGTGTTAGCAGACGAGTTGAAGAAAAGTCAGCCAAAAGAAACCTACCCNNCTTCTTCACGCCGTCAACACCCAGATCTATCCACCAGATGCCAGGAACACCCAGCATACACCAGAGTACAGCCTTCTTGCCGAGAGAACCGATAGGAAGCCATGCAAGGAGCAAGAAGTAGGCCACGGCGACAGGGATCAGGAAGAAGATGCGCACGATGAAGAGAAAGGCGTGAAATGGAAGGGCATAGCCCGCGGGCTGAGTGGGAATGGGAAAGAAGGGCGCAATGCCCGAGCCNTGCCACATGATCAGCACGTGTCGATAGATTGTGACATGGCACGACTCACCTCGATCACGGAAGGCACTGTACTTCTCCATGGCTATTCATATGGCGAATATGGCAAGGAGACAGAAAGGTTCAGGTGGGAAAAAAGTTGGGCTGGACTCTCGAAACGTCATTCAGTTGGTGGTGAATGGCTGTTTGGCATGTGAAGATTGATGATGGGAAAAGGACCGTGCACGGCATCCCCTTTAGGAAAGCGGCAGGAAAGAGGTCCCTTGGGTGTTTGTTTATCGGGGAAACAGCTCGAGCCTCGCGCCTGCCATTTTGACTGCGACTGCGACAACGACACAGAGGCCCCACCACCAACGGTATTTCTGTTTCATGCTTGCTCTGCATCTCTGCGACGCCGTGGCATGTCGTCTGATATAATCGCTTCTTGAGATCAATCATGGTCTCCAACGCTGAAAATGCCGTGCGTCCTCTGCTACCCTTTACCTCGACACCATGTCTGATGTCTATACCACAGCCGATCCGCGCATCAGGGCTGCGGCCCCCGACTCGCATCCCAGCAACTACTGGACTGCTGGAGATGTCGGCCTCTGACAACAATGCGCGCGCCATTCCGCCTCCAGCCAACCTGCTCAAGCACAAAGGCTCAGCCTGTATGTCTCAGTTGTCGCATCAGGAAAGACATCCATTGACCGCTCATCTACCCCAGTACCTGAGCCCGCCCCTAAGAGAAAGACTCTGGCCGAACGTGCTGGCGAGCCTCCTGCTCGCTCCACCCATACCACCTCTCGAGTAATGAAGCGCTCCAACACAACGAATAATCTGCGAAAGCCTTCCGGAAACCACACAACCTCATCCGCCCGTCCTGCTTCCGCCGCCGCTACCCACCGAACCAATTCCGCCCTTCCTCGAACCGGATCCCGCAGCGCCCTGGCTGCTCGCCCTCCCTCGGTCACACAAGAGGACGACGACGAAGACCTGTCTTCCTCGAGCATCCTCCCAAACAAGCGCAAGGGTATGCTACCTCCCATTGTTGAATCTTCTGCCCTCGTTCTTCACCAGCCGCGGATGCACGACAAAGTCTCATCCTATGCTTCGGTCTTGTCGCGTGTTTCGTCTGCTGAAGCCTCCCCAAACCCCTTCACATCCACGTCTTCCCCGAAAAAGTTTGCCTTTTCAGCATACCGCAACACCTCTCTTTCCACAGCACTTCGCAACCTGAGTCTGAGTTCCAACAACTCGGACTCTCGATCTGCCTCGTTTTCTTCAACACAACAAGACGAGCCTCTGTGCCCCAAAACTCCATCGCAGATACCCAAGCTCAAGCCTGTCCCGAAGACTCCGTGTCCGCCGAGTTCTGACCTACACATCTTTAAGACCCCCCACACCAAGTATTCCGTTCACAATGCTTCCCCGGGCAAGATCGTATATTTGAATCGTAATTCTAACACTCCTGCTCCAGCCTGGGATACCAAAGGTCGACTCGAAGACATGGAGACCCTCTACTCCCAACTCAAGTCGCAACTCGATTCCGCCGCTACAGAGAAAACTGGCATGGAGGAGGGCATATCCATGTGCAGAGCACGCAGTACGTCTCGCGATTCTTTTCTACATTCCCGCTAGCTCACCTCTTGCTTCGCAGTAACCGAAATGGAGCAAGTCCGCCTGCAACTCTCCGCCGCCAATCAAACATTGACCACCGAACTCGCCGAGACCAAAGTAAAACTATCGTCAGCAAACACACAACTGGATGACACGAAGCGATCACAGGCTTTCGAGATCGATGATCTCAGAAGGAAGTTCCGCAACGATTTCGAGGATGCCAAAGATGACCATCGCAAGGAGCTTGAACGTCTCCAGCGTGAAGCAAGAGATGAGCTTGATCGGGTCAGGAAAGATGCCCAAGAAGAAGCCGACAGAGCAAACAAGACACGAAGGGAAGAGGTGGCCGAGAAAGAACGCGAACTTAGGGCAGAGCTCGAGGAAGAGAGAAGCCGCAGGCTGCGCGAAGTTCAGGAGCTCACAACACAATTCAGCATGCAAAAGCTAACGGCAGACAACGATGTTACGCAAAAAGACCGCGAACTGCAGAGCTTGCGATCCGAACTGAACGAAGTCAAGGCCAATCTGGAATCCTCAAATGCACTGAACACCAACTTGAAGGAAAAGTTGACCGAAGCCTCGACAAACACCCTCACCCTCGAAACCTCGATGCGCGCCATGAAGGCGAAGATTGATTTCCTTGAGTCTGATAACCAAGCACAATCACAAGCTTTCCAGGATCTCAACCAACAGATGTTGGATGCACAGGCTGTGGCTGCTGAGGCAAAGGAGAAGCTCCGCCAGGAAGAGACTTTGCGAAGGAAGCTCCACAACCAAGTTCAGGAGCTCAAGGGCAATATTCGTGTTTTCTGTCGTGTCCGTCCAACGCTAGGCGATGAGGAGACGAAAAAAGCAGAGCTCGCTTTCCCTGATGCCGATGCTGACAGCAAAGAGGTTGTCGTGCAGGGTCCGGACCAAAAGAGCGCCATGGGTACTGTTACCAAAGCCAACAACAACTTCTCCTTCGATCGAGTGTTTGGTCCGTCATCACAGAATGGCGAGATTTTTGATGAGATCAGCCAGCTCGTCCAAAGTGCGCTCGATGGATACAACGTCTGCATCTTCTGTTATGGCCAAACAGGATCAGGAAAAACATACACCATGTCTTCAGCTGATGGCATGATTCCAAGCGCTGTAACTCAAATCTACGAGACAGCTAAGAGTTTGGAAGACAAGGGTTGGACATACTCCATGGAGGGCAGCTTTGTCGAGGTATACAACGAGACTGTGAACGATCTTCTTGGCAAGGCGGAAGACTGGAACAACAAAAAGCACGAAATTCGTCAAGACCCGGTCAAGCTCAAAACCACGATCACAGACGTGACAACAGTCGACTTAGACTCGCCTTCGCGTGTCAATGCTATTCTCGACCAAGCCAATCGCAACAGACGAGTGGCCGCTACCCAGGCCAACTCGCGCTCGTCACGAAGTCACTCGGTCTTTATTCTCAGGCTCATTGGAGAAAACTCAATGACGGGAGAACGTTCTGAGGGTACTCTCAACCTTGTCGATCTGGCAGGAAGTGAACGTCTTGCCCACAGTCAAGTTTCAGGCGATCGCTTGAAGGAGACACAGAACATCAACAAGAGTCTGAGTTGTTTGGGCGATGTCATCAGTGCGTTGGGGTCAGGCAAAGATGCGAAGCACATCCCGTATCGTAACAGCANNAAGTGAGTTCGGAGGTATGAACCATATCTTGATAAAAGTCTAACAACTTGGTAGTTGACCTATCTCTTGCAATATTCGCTGGGCGGAAACAGCAAGACACTGATGTTTGTTATGGTCAGCCCTCTGCAGGCCCATCTGTCAGAGACCTTGACCAGTTTGAAATTCGCTACCAAGGTTCGTTCTTTACTCTGTTCGAAACAAAGTTACAACCACTGACTAGACTCTTAGGTGCATAACACTCACATTGGAACCGCGAAGAGACAAGCGAAGGTCAAGGATTAGAAGTCATGAGTATTGAACATGTCCATCTTTTCGTTTTTGCGCTTGTCATTATGAGGGAACAAACATCTTCGAGCGGATCGTTTGCGGCGTTTTTGGTTGAATGATATCTGGAGTACCCCATGAGCTCGAGATTGGCATGATATGAAAATGCGCGGGTCGCCCTCGAGTAGGACAAGCGCCTTGTATCGATTTTGTCCAGAGGAGGGAGACGACATAAAATATAGAAATGTAAGCAAGACTTCATTTTCATCCTTACGCTTGATGCGGCCATTGGACTTGTGCAAGCAATGTTGTGTGTTTGCTGTTTGCCATGAGGCTGTTTGACGCTGAGCACAAACATCGTGGTGACTGTACTGCTTTAATCAAACGCACACCTCCTCCTGTCGATCTTGACTGTCCCGGATTTTGAAGTCGTTGATCTCTGGCTATTTTTGCCTATCTTCCGTAGCGGGCGGATTGAGAATTGTGTGATGTCAATACAAAGCGTGGATCTGTGCCGCTGGGGACTTCAACTTCGGCTCTCCACGACCCGGGTCAGCATCAAAGTAGCATTACATTTGTTTTGCTCAACATTGAAAAACCACCATGGATCATCGAAAACTCCGACAGTGGTGCTCCTCAACGGTGTCACTGCAGGTCGTTGTGTTTCCACATTGCTTACTTCTAGGCTCGGATATATCTTTGCTCCTGGCATCCATTCACCTTATCCCGCCTTATTCCTCCTTTTTGGGTAACACGATATCAGAAGCCACCTGGGAGTTACATAAAAGACGACCACCATGCTCCCGATGTCCCTAGATGACCAGACCGTGACCACCTCTACTTCGTCTTCTGCACCTTCCTCCATACCCGCCTGGTTGGCTTCTTGGATTTCTCACGGATTCTAAAACATTGCAAGCATGCGTCTACACTCTCTGAAAGAGCTCGACGACTCGGAGGGAAATGTTCGTCTGCATAACGACAAAGATATCGCTGTCATCTTGTATCCTGCCCCTTCGCCTACCGACCCTAATGACCCGCTTCGATGGCCTCTATGGAGGAAACATGTCGCCTTTGGCAGTGTATGCGCTTTTGCATTCTTGTCGAACTATGCCATTGGAGGTCTGGCCCCAGCTTTCTACATTCTAAGTCTGGAGTTTGGAAAGTCGCAACATCAGACTAGCGAGCTACTCCTCTGGCCCGTCCTTGTATTCGGGGTCTTTGTATGTCAGATCCTGCCATACTCATCCATACTTGTACTGATAATCGCATAGAACTTCCTCTGGGTGCCTCTAGCGAACTATTATGGCAAACGACCCATCTTTGTATTTTGTACTCTTCTTCTGTGCGTATGCTACATTTGGGGTGCGACTGCACAGAGTTTTGAGAGTTTGCTCTGGTCCAACATTGTCGGTGCATTTGGAGGCAGTGCATCCGAAGCTGTGGCTGCGTCGATGGTGAATGATCTGTACTTTCTGCATGAGCGTGCTGGCAAGATGAGTTGGTATGTCAACTCGATCTCGGCCGGCAACACTCTAGGTGTAAGTAATTAACACTTCATATGTGAATGCCTCGGTACTGACTATCCTGTGTCTAGCNCATTGATCTGTGGCTTTGTGGTCCAAGGCTTGAGCTGGGTAAGTGATAGTCTTGCAACCTCAATCCGATCATCTCGGCTGACTGATCTCCAGCGTTGGCACAAGATCATCGCGGCCATTCTTGTCGGCATAAATTTCCTCGTCGTGGTCTTTTTGTGCCCTGAGACCAGATTCGACCGCGCAGGACACGGACTCGCGGAACCTCTCACACCTTCAAGAACAGCCAGCGATGCCAACACTCTCGAGAAGACAATCTCGAACCCAGAGCAACAGCCAGTGCATCGTCCATCAGATACTTCGGATACTACACCTGTGGACACGGTTCCCAAGAAATCATGGTCCCAACAACTCAAGCTCTGGTCGCCTTTGCCTAACAATCTCTCGCTGTTTGAGCTTTTCTTGCGCCCGTGGCCATTGATCGTATACCCTGAGGTCATCTTTTCCACTTTGGCGACGGCATTCGCGCTTGCCTGGGTGGTAGGTATCAACATCCTGAATTCGTTCGTCCTCCAGGCACCGCCCTACTCCTGGTCGCCTGCTGTGAACGGCCTTATCAACATCCCTGGCTTACTAGGAAATATTTGTGGTGCTCTTGTAGGCGGACCGCTGGTTGATTGGTACTCTGATTGGCGTGCTAGAAAGAATGGCGGTGTCTTTCAGCCAGAGTCGAGGTTGACACTGTTGATCTTTCCGGCTGTCATGGTACCTGCAGGGTGTTTGGCTTTCGGATATGGTGTTCAAGACAAGTTGCACTGGACCAGTATGTTCTTTGGATATGGCATGGTTGCAACGGGCTTGACGACGATACCTTGTATCACCATGACCTATATTTCGGATTGTGTAAGTCTTCTTGTCATTCTCCTCTCCCACTCTGAGGCGTGTTGCGATGGATGCAGAAGAGCTTGGCTAATTGATGTTTTAACAGNNTATCTTCCGATTGCTCCTGACGCACTGTTGTTAATCAACGGGCTGAAGAATGTTGCAGCGTTCGGCTTCCTGTATGCCATCACGCCTTGGGTATTCAAGGTTGGATATGCAGAGTGTTATGGTGAGCAGGCCGCTATAGCAGTGGGAATACTGTTGTTTGCCATTCCGCTCAGCATTTTCGGTGCCAGGATGCGCCATCGTACTGCACAATGGCGTATAATTCTTTGATGGAAGATGGATCTGGGGGTAACTGATAATTCATCAGGGTATCATTTAGAAATCAATGTCCTTTCGCAGTAAAACGTTTTGCTGCTCTATTTCGACTTTCTTCTAGACATGTGTGCGGCGTGCATCTTTGCGACCTCGGGGATAATCAACGATTCAATCTCGACGGCAGGTTGTCCCGTAACGGCTTCTGCATCTTGCTCGGCATCGCCGCCAGAGGCCAGTCCCACATGCTCGACTTTGCCAGAGATGCTGGGTGTGCGTTTGCTTCGTGGTACGCGGATCCACTGTTGGCCTGCCGATGCAGACACAAACACGACTTCCCACTTGCGCGTCGACAACAAGTTTCCAATGACGAGATGATGTGAGTATTTGTTTAGTGCGTACTCGGCCTTCTTGACCAAGATGGCTGGATCGGTCTCGAGCTTGAAACTGACAATCATGCCGTCGGGGGCCCAGCCATCGACCAATGTCTTGAGGAACTTAGGTACCGGCTCTAGACCGATTACTAGACGTTGACCTTCGATACGTGCTGCAGGTGTTTTTGTCCCATCGGCACCGTCCTGGTTTTCCTTGTTGAAGTCTTCCGAGGACTGGATTTTGTGTTCCACCATTCTGTCGCTGGGGATGAAGAAGTCGCTCACGGCAGCTGCGAGATAGAACAATGCGTTACCACCCAGCGGCTGCATTAGAATAGCAATCTCCCTCAACTCCCACAGGTAGTCATTAACCGTGACAAAAGGGATAGAAAGCAATTTCCCCTTCTTTCTCGCATCCGTATACTTTCGCAACACCTCGACCATTTCATTCTGATACTCCTCACCCACCACGACTTTACCGCCCTCGCCCTCATCCATAAAATCCAAGAAGCAATTCACATTATGCGAATAATGTCTGCTATACGGCAACAGCGAGAATTGGCGGTGCAAGAATATGACCGCGTATCCGTGATCGAGGAAATACTCTGCGGAAGTGGCGCCACGGGTTCCGGCGCTGAAGTTGTCGACAAAGCGCACCATTTGGTTTTCTAGGGGTACGGTTGTGCCGCCGGATGTCACGAGGACGACGCGACGGTTGTCAGAGGCATGGCGGGAGATGAACTCGCGGGCGAGAGTGGAGTGTTTCTGGAGGATTTTCGGTCGAGGGTTGGAGGAGAAGTATTCGTGCTCCATGATTGTTGTTAACGTTGGTGAGAATTTCGACAAAATCTTCAGATCATGGATTCCAGAGTCGTAAGGTTGGAAGGTCGTAAGATGCCAGTTGTTGCGATTTTGTTTCGCTCTACAGGCGGTTTTGATTGTACTGGGTAGTCTCGAGACTAGGTGCGGCGTTGACTAATCCAATGGACGGAGATGTCGTTTGTAGGGGTGTAGTTATATCTATCGGATATCTAGGGACATTTCGTTCAGGTAAGACGAATACTGGTTATCCTTGAACATGTAATATCGCTTTCTCGAGGTACGAGGGGTGACCAGATGTCGTTGCTGGCAATCCTCGGTGTTGTCACATATTTCTCCTTTTCTCCGATAAAATGACCAACCCTGTCCTTCTCCACTCATTCAATCCAACGGGACGACGCGACCTCTCTCGACCAAAAGCAGAGGACGAACTGATCAACCTCCATCAGCCAATCTGAGCATCCTACTAAAAACTCGTTTCCCAATGCCTGCATGTCGCTGCAAGTCCAAACGATAGCCCAGCTCCAAGCTTTGACCAAGCCTTTTTAAGCGCCTATGAAACTCCTCAGTTGGCGACTTGAAACGCAGGGCAATCGTGTAACCAAAGTGAGCTGCCCGCATGCCCTCGTATCTGCTGCTGCAAGGTATCAGTTGACCATGTGGAAAAGCGCAAGGGCAAGAGAACAACGGGGCCACGAAGCACGCACGAGTGTCGGTCTCGTGGGCATTATCGCAGTCGCATACTACTTCTGAAATCTCCGAACAGGAAAGAGCAGTCGTTCGAGGTGTTGCAGAGTAGAGTGAACGGATAGCGGCAGCCAAGGTGTCCCCAAAAAGACGATGCATTGGCTCTCGTTCCCGCCAACTGATCAAACAACTAGCATCCTGCGAGCGGCCGGCTCGAGGGTCTACCTGTCCTGCTAAGTTTGGAAGGCTATAGGTTGCATCCGCGTGTATTAGTCTGCAGGTGTGGCGTCCCTGTCGAGTCTCAGGTAGTGGACTGTTTCCGTCGTGGCGAGGGCAAGACCTCGAGATATAAACAGTAACCTTCGCTTTTTTCTTTCGTCCTTCCTTCCTCGCCGCTTGTCCTCCAAGTTGTCACTCGTTCCGTGACTCTTGTCCCACTCGCTTTCTCTGTCACTCGTTTCGACAATTGACGGACCATTGTACAGTGTCCCAGTCTTTCTGTCATTCGACAACAGCTGTCAGCCGACTATTGGCTCTCATACTGACCAACACCTGTATAAAGCAAACCAGATCGTGTTTGTTTCAATCAAGCACTCGAATAACCATGAAGCAGTCAATTCTACTGCTCGGCCTTTGCGCCAGCTCAACTCTTGCCAACATCTATTTCCCAAAAGTCCAACCAACATGCAACAGTCAGGATCTGCAGTTTAGTGGATGTCTGAAAGGGCAGTTCTGTCAGTTGAACAACACGTAAGTTGCATCCCCTCGTACTAAGAGGCATCAAGCTCATGGCGATAGATGCACTGCTGCAAAACACACCTGGCCAATGTCCTTCCAGGATCACGGCAAAAGAGGCATCTTCGACTTCTTGGAGGAATTCTTCCAACACAAGGGTAAAACCACCCCCACCGGCTCCAAATACTCACAGGATGGCAAATGTGGTCCCAACAATGGCAATCTCTTGTGTGATCCTGATAGCACGGCATACAAAGGAACATGCTGTTCTTCATATGGTCAGTCCTCTTGCCTTGACATGGTCTGTGTACTCCGGCTGACAANNGCTACAGGATGGTGCGGTGACACTCCTGCCCATTGTGGAAGCGGCTGTTCCTCTGGCTGTTCTTCTAGTTCAGCTGTCAAGCCTTCTGTTACAACTTCGAGTTCAGCAGCTGCTAAGCTTCCTGTCTCAAGTTCGACCATCGTCAGAGCAGCACCTTCCGCGTCCGGTGCTGCTCCTCGGGATGACGGTAGATGTGGTCCTGACTTCAACAATGCATTGTGTGATCCGAATGGCGCATACGGTGGCTGTTGCTCGTAAGCAGGATATAAACCTGAATTGAAAAATTTGGCTAATACTTGCATCAGCTCTTATGGATACTGCGGCAATACCGATAGCCACTGCTTGGCTGCCAATGGATGCATTTCTGGCTGTAAGAGCGCAGCATCGACAAGCGCACCTCCGACTTCTGCGGTCATATCGTCCGTCGCTCCTTCCAACGTAGTTTCGGCTGCTCCTTCAAGCACGACTGGTGAGCCGATCATATCGGCAGCGTCCTCCTCTGCTGGTAGTGCCCCTACAGGTACAGTGACTAAGGATGGCACTTGCGGTGCTACCTATGACAACACTGTCTGTGGTGACTGGACTCAAGGTAGCTGCTGCTCGTAAGTCTTCTTTACTCCCCGTGTGCCAAGTATGCAACCCGTATAGCTATGAAAATGCACAGCAGTATCGAGAAATAGGGCAGTGTCCACCGAGAGTCGACATCTTGGCGACTCTTTCTGGCAACTACTCTGCTTCGGAAGCGAATTATGCATTCTCATAGCATACACTTCTCTGCACGCTCTTGTGAGAGAGCGGAGATGCAGACTCCAGCACACGGCGACATTTTGCTGAATTGTCCAGATAGCTAACCTTTGTTGCTNNAGTATGTATGGATACTGCGGGAACAGCACTGCTCATTGTGGAGATGGATGCCAGAGTGGGCCTTGTCTGAACGGCGCCGTCGTCGCAGCTCCTGGACCCAGTCCTGCACCTGTTAATGCTAATCCTGGATCCTTCAACATCGTCGGCGATAGTGGGGCTCCTGCTATGCATGCCGGCCTCCTCCCCAACGGCAAAGTGGTCTTCCTTGACAAAGTGGAGAACTATACACAGATCAAGCTTCCCAATGGCCAGTACGCATACTCTACCGAGTACGATCCTGCTACCAATAAATACACTCCTTTGGCGTACAAGACTAATGCCTTCTGCGCCGGTGGTTCCTTCCTCGCTAATGGGCAATTCATCTCTCTCGGTGGTAACGCTCCCCTGGACTTCATTGACCCTACTGTGGGAGATGGCTTTGACGCCATCCGTTATCTGACCCGTTCTCCTTCTGACGCTTCGCTGGATGGGCAAGATTGGAGTGAGCCGGGCAACAAACTCAGCAGTAAGCGATGGTATCCCTCAGTACAAACACTTCCCGATGGCAGACTCTTTGTTGCCAGTGGATCTTTGAACGGGCTCGACCCCACCGTGCCTGCCAACAACAACCCGACGTACGAAATTCTGGACAAGAATGGCAAGTCATCTGGTTTCTCGATCCCTATGGAGATTCTGGTCAAGAACCAACCTTACTACATGTACCCATTCATGCACCAGCTCAAGGACGGCTCGCTTTTCGTCTTTGTCTCTAAGTCATCGGAACTCTTCAACGTCGACACCAACACCACCGTAAGGACTTTTGCAGATCTTCCTGGCGACTACCGCACCTACCCCAATACTGGCGGCTCGGTCCTGCTTCCTCTGTCCTCTGCAAACGACTGGAACCCCGATATCGTCATCTGCGGCGGCGGTGCATACCAAGACATTACTTCGCCCACCGACCCCAGCTGCGGCCGCATACAACCTCTCTCCACAAACGCCAGATGGGAAATGGACGCAATGCCCCAAGGCCGCGGCATGGTAGAAGGCACGCTGCTACCAGATGGCACAGTCGTCTTCGTCAACGGCGGCAACGAAGGCGCCCAAGGCTTTGGCCTCGCCCGCGATCCAACCTTCGAAGCCCTGATCTACGATCCGGCCAAACCTCTCGGTCAACGCTTCACCACCGGCGCCTCATCCACTATCCCTCGCCTCTATCACTCCGTAGCTCTGCTGCTTCTTGACGGCACTTTGATGGTCGCAGGCTCGAACCCAGTCGAGCAACCCATCCTCAAACCCACCACCCAAGATCCCTACGTCACTGAATTTCGTGTCGAGATCTACACACCTCCCTACCTGAGCGGCGACAACGCGAACAAGCGGCCCACAAACATTGCCTTGTCCTCAAAGTCCCTCCAAGCAAACTCCCAAACCTTCAACATCGAGTTTAGGGTCCCTGTGGGTGCCAAAAGCGTCAAGGTGTCGCTGTACCACGGAGGTTTTGTCACGCATTCTGTGCACATGAGTCACCGTATGTTGTTCTTGGATACTGTGGGTTGGAAGGATGGGGCTGCGCAGCAGACACTTACTGTGACTATGCCGCCGAGTGCCAACATTGCGCCTCCCGGTCCGTATGTGGTGTATGTGGTTGTGGATGGTGTGCCTGGTATCGGTCAGTTTGTGCAGGTGTCTTGATTCGCCACGTGTGGACTAGAGAGGAGAGTAATGAGATGATGAGTGTGCCTTTTTGCTTGACCAAATATGTTGCTGTAGAGTGATAGCGTAGCTAGTGCTGAACAATTCCAGATAAATTTGTCGATGTTATAGAGATTGTAAGAACAAAAAAAAGAACTTTTGCATTACTACTACAAATTAAAAATTAAAAACTATTACAGTATCTCACATCTTTTTTTCTTTTTTCTTTTCTCTCTCTCTTGGTCAACGACTCGAGTCTCCAATATTGTATTCAATCGATAACGAATAAAACTTCCCCTGTAACTTGTGCCCAAGTCGACATGCTGTAGCACAAGGCAGCTAAGCGTGTCCAGAAAGTCGCTTGTTCTTGGTGTGGCCTCGAGGCAGGGCACGTCTAGGCAGGACAGCGGTTGGACTGATACCTGCTGCCTCCTTTCTCTCGGCTTCGGCGATCTGAGCGGCCTGAATGTTGCTGGTCGAGGGTGTGGCGACGATAGTACAGATGAGCACTNNGCAAGAAAGGTCAGCAATAAGTTACAAAGGGGATTATGTTCATATCATTGTCTTACCGTCTGTCATGGGTTGACCGTCCTTTCCGTGGCTTGGAGTGACAGTGGCATAGTCATCGTCCCATACGACGTATGATCTGGGACAGTAATGACGACGAAAGGCGATGTTGTCGTCGGCTCCTCGACATTGATCGTACACACCAGTCACTGGGTGTCGATGTTGGTCTTTNTCAGGGCACATGGAAAGCAAATCTGCAACGCAGCCTTGACCAACTTCCCATGCATCGCCCTGTCCATGGCACCAGACTGGCGAGGAGAAGCCACGCTCGATATCGATATCATAGTAGAGGTGGTCATAGCCCCCCTTGAAGGTCGCCTCAACGAGAGTGTCATGGTTTCGGTGGTCGCCAACTTCGGCAGTTTTGTTATTCGGAGAGACACCGATAAACAACTTTGGGCTCACATTAGGCAGTGTGGGGATCCACAAGTTCTCACCAGGTCCGACTGTGGCCGTGGAGAACTGGAGGTATTCATGGGAGCCGTATTGTTGAACGTCAGTTTCCGCCCAGTCTGTACTGATGTGATGTGTTGCGGCGTTTCTGTTGAGAACCCAGAAGCCCATCGAGTGTGCGGCATCGGGTGCTGGTTCGTCTTCTCCATAGGTTTGCCATTCAGCAGGCTGTCCAACGGCAGAGGCAACATCAGATTGGATGGGGGCTGGAGATTGGATGGCTGCCGGAGCTTGAGCAGGAGCCCACGATTGAACAGGAGCAGAAGGTTGAGCAGGAGCCCAATGCTGTGAAGCGGGTTGGCTGGGTGGTATGCTACCAGATGGGCTTTCCGTAGGCTGCTGAACGACAGGTTCTGACCAGCTTGATGGCGAATACGAGATAGTAGGGTGAGCCTCGATGAGTTGCGAGTGTAAGGACGGACTTTGAGACGCTTGACTTACTCCAGTTTGTGTCTTCTGGAGACCAACTGGGGCAACCGCAAGAACCGAAGAGTTGGCGTGGTAACCTACCGAGACTCCATCTGCACCCAGGACAGCGAGGTGATCCTGTGCAGATATCAAAGAAGGTAGAAGAACTACCAGCGGGGGTATGAACGAGCGCATGTTAACAGAAACCACCAACGAAGTGAACGACAAAAACTTGTCAAAGGAAAGAGATGACCAAAATCCGACTTGTCTGGTTACCTGACAAGATCTTAAGTAGAAAATCTCTTCTTGCAAAGGTGTCCATATTTACCGCCCAGGCTTTTGCCTGCGGATCATGATAGCTGATCACCATCCGAATGTAAGAATAAGGTCGCGTTCTCTCCGCATTAGAGCGCGAGTTTGTGTCGAGATGAGCGTATTATGGCCCGAAGGCGTGGGGCGGACGGGGACTCATGCTTCGACCGTGATGAGTCAATTCTTCGACTGACCATTGGTAGCTACCCCTGGGTCCATACATGGGGATTAAAGAGTACCTGGAGTACCTGAACATTCTGTCAGGTAAGCATAACCTCCCCATGGTTCGCTGAGGTGTCAATCGCTCTCGAGTGTTTATTCAAAGTTGCAGGTTGGGTCTGCTGGGAGGCATAGTCCAACAACAGAACTCGCATAGAGCGGCAGAGTGCAGAGATGGTACGACACGGATGGTAAAGTTTGATGGATGTCATGGGATTGTTGCCAAAGTGTCTGTAAGTCAGGAAGGGAGTTGAAGAGGCCTTTCCGATCAATAGTGTTCAAGATTCCGACGTCACTGCGTCGGGCCAGAAGGAACGCATGACTGTTGCGCAATGTTGCCTTGCTGCCGCTTTACAAGCAACTTTTTGGCTATCGAAGACGGAGGGACTTACCAACAAATAGTCGTTGAGCCCATGGCGAACGGTTTGTCACTTTCACATGTGTGATCCCGGTAAATTTAAAGCTGTAGTAATAAGTTCGCAAATGTCATATCTATTCCTGCCTCGGCCCACCCTTGATTTTTGTATAACGCCTATATCGTTGCATGTACGGCTTTCCCTGGCCGTATGCTCAAGTCATTTGATGTATTCCTGTTCCGACGTCTGGTACACTCCTAGTTCCAGGCCTCAAGGTTCTTGAGAACGACCTCATCCTCAATTCTAGAGAAGAGCTTTCCGATGACAGAAACTCTCTCGCCTGCCTCTTCCAAAACCTTTTGGGCCTCGGCGGCATTCTCCTTACTCACAACGATGACCATGCCAAGACCAGTGTTCCATGTGCGGGCGAACTCGCGGGACTCGACGTTACCAGCTTCCTTGAGCCACTTGAGCACCGGGGGAACAGACCATGCTGACACATCAACCTCAGCAGCAAGGGTCTTAGGCAACATTCTGGGGATGTTGTCGTAGAGACCACCACCAGTAATGTGTGCCATACCCTTAAGCAGATCCTTCTCGACAGCCTTCAGAAGGGGCTTGACGTAGATGCGAGTGGGGGTCAACAAGCTAGCGCCAATAGTAGTGTTGGGTGCCCAAGGTGCCTTGTCGTGGTACGAAAGTCCTTGGCGCTCAACTACCTTTCTGACAAGGGAGAAACCGTTGGAGTGAACGCCATCACTGGCAAGACCCAGAAGGACGTCACCTTCGACCATAGATGCCATGTCGGGCAGGATGGTGCGACCACGTTTAAGGGCACCAGTAGCACAACCACCAGCATCGAACTCGTTGCCTTGGTACATGCCAGGCATCTCTGCAGTCTCGCCGCCAACGAGAGCGCATCCTGATTCACGGCAACCAGCAGCGACACCCTCAATGAATGAGACAGCTTCCTTGATCTCCAGCTTGCTGCAGGCGTAGTAATCCAGGAAGGTCAAAGGTTCGGCACCTTGCACAACCAAGTCGTTAACGTTCATGGCAACAAGATCAATACCAACAGTGTCGAACTTTTCCATGGCGAAGGCGACCTTCAGCTTGGTACCAATACCATCAATGGCCTGGATCATGATTGGAGCCTCATCGTAGCCAGCGGCTTGGAGATCGAGTGCGCCACCAAAGCCACCAATCTCAGCATCGGCACCAGGTCTACGAGTGGACTTGACAGCCTTCTTGATGGCAACGACCAGATCGTTACCCGCGTCAATAGATACACCGGCATCAGCGTAGGTCATGGCCTTGGGCTTCTCAACGTCTCTAGTGCAGACAGCACCATCGTAAGCGGGCTCCAATAGCTTCCACTCGCAGTTGATATTCTCCTTCTTGAACTCGCCCATGAGGTGGTTGGCAATTTGCTCGAAGTTGTGAGTAGCCAAAGCCAGGATAGTAGGACCAGCACCAGACAAGCAGATACCGAGAAGGCCGGGCTGAGATGTGGGAGTGACAGACTTCAGGATCTCGGTCAAACCAGGAATGAGAGTCTTTCTGTAAGGCTGGTGGATCTTGTCCTGCATACCATCGTAGATCATGTCAGCGTTGGGAGGGCTCTGGCCGAGAGCGGTAGTCAACAGAGCGATCCTCTGCAAGTTGGAGATGACGTCTGCCTTAGGGTACTCGGTGGGGAGAACAGAGCGAGCCTTTGCGGTAGAAACCTCGAAGTCAGGAATGATAGCGATACACTTGATCTCGGGGGCCCAGTTGAACTTGATGTGCTTGCCAATGTTGATCGGGGGAATGGGCGGAGTAAGTCCGGTGTCAACACCACCAGCAGGGGCGGGAAGGACTTCACTCAGAGGAATTTCCTTGCGCTTCATGTCCTCCGGGTCCAGGTCCTTGAGGTATGAGCCAACAAAGCCACCAAATAGAGCAGCGGCAACATTGTCAGGATGTCTCTCGATCATCAAGCAAAAGTCGAGCATGCGGTCCTTGGTCAGGTCAAGTCCTCCAACCTCACTACCAAGCATGACACCAGCAACAACAGCAGCTCCGGAAGAGCCAAGACCACGACCCAGAGGGATGGGGTTGATGATGTGCACATGAGTCTCGGAAGGGAAAGCGTGCTGGTTGTGGCATCGCAGAACATAGAGAGCAGTCTGAGTAATCAAGTTGCGGTCAGCAACGAGGTCGACACTCTCCTTGCCGAGACCCTCGTAGGTAATCTTGCAATTGGACTGGTGTTCAGAAGACTTCCTGGACGAGTCTACGGTAACACGCAGCTCGAGCCAGACAGAGAGGGCTAGACCGATGACATCAAAGCCGGGGCCNTGGTCAAGAAGTCAATTGACGAGCAGACATATAAGATGCGATTGGTAAGTAATACCAATGTTGGCCGAAGAACACGGCACCTCTGTGGAAAATTAGCCTTGATCGTGGGGCAGAAATGAGCAATGCTCCATACTGATTGAGAAGGACATGTTGGACAGAATCAGCTGTCAACGTTCTTTACAACCGAATATAAACAAAGAAAGAAAGTCGCGAGAAGACCTTGTCTAGATTGACAGAGGTTGGCACGCGGTATGGAGAAAATTCAGCGATCTCGGAAGCTCGCTGTCACGAAGGAGTCAGTCTTTGAGGATATTTTTTCGACCTCACGCAACAGCACCCCGCGTTCGGCGGTCGGGAGTCCCGCGTCTTGGCGCGCGGCGGACGCCAAGCTCGACCGACAACATCATACGTAGGCGCGGGCAGCGACGCGCAGCCATCGAGGTTGCACGATTGAGCGTCCTCTCTAGCTATCAACCTCAACTCTCTCCCCCAACGATATCCATCTTCTACTCCGACGGCTTCACTGCTGTCATCCACAGTCCACCATGCCTGTACGAGCCCCAATTGTCCACAGCACCTTCGAGCAACCCCCTGCTGACAGCTAGCTGGGCAGGCATACCACTCGGTCTTCCTCGATGAGCCCAACCAACAAGTCATTGGCAACTTTGCCCTACTCCCACTCCGTACCAGGACCCGTGGCCCCGCTATGCAACTTCCCGCCCTTTCCGGCGACGTGACAGAACTCACCATCGATGCCTCACACGAAAGCTACGACCCGCTGGACGAGACGCTGGCCCTGTTCCGTGCCAACACCTTCTTCCGCAACTTCGAAATCAAAGGTCCCGCCGACCGTGTTCTCATATACGGTATCTTGTTCGTCAGCGAAGTCATCCAAAAGATCAAGCCTCAGATGCCTAGGAGAGAAGCCGAGAAGGCCGTCATGAACCTCGCTCTCGACACAAACTTTGCCGTCCCTGGCGATGCCACATTTCCTCTCAACCAGGCCTTCGAGCCTCCGCGGGACAGACAAGAAGCCGAGGTCTTGAGACAGTACATCAGCCAAATGAGACAAGAGCTGGCCAACAGATTGTTGAACAGGATATACGCAGACGGCGATGCTCCTAGCAAGGTAAGACCACTCCTTGTATCAAGTATCGGGAGAAATGCTAAGCTAGTGCTGCCAGNNTGGTGGTTGAGTTTCACCAAGAGAAAGTTCATGGGCAAGGCCCTCTAGATTGCTATCCGAGCTTGAAGGCGCCATGCAGCAGTCTTCAATACCGACAGCATACCACAAATCCTCCACAGCGAACGGTCGCATCGAGAAAGTCACACGTACTCGAAATCTCCCCCAGAATACGCGAGCGCTGGTTGGCACGATATCTCATACGGCTAAAGTATGGAACCTCACACTATTGTTGATAGGAGAACGAAATGATCAAGAATTTATATGCAGCCATATCTACAATGCTCCTACCTATCACGCGGAAACCGACTGGTCACTCGAGGATCAGATAATGCAATAATCTGCTGACAATTTGATAGATATTCACTAAATGAGCTTGATTCAATGTCGCCTTGAAACTACTCGTAGATATACTGGACCTCGCAGATTTCGCCCTTGTTATCAGCAGCACTAGCAAGTGCGGAAACGGTTTCCTTGACAGTCACGCTCGAAGTGGAAGATACTCTGACTGCAGTCGAGAAGGTGGTTGCCGAGGTAGCCAGAGTAGAAAGAGCGCTCGAGTACGCTTTTGTATGCGTTTTTCTGGCGACCTTGATGCTAGAAGTGGAAGAGGACATGGCGCCCGATGAGACAAGGAAAGGAACAGAAGCTGGAATCTTCGATGGCGCACTCGAATTACTGATGACAGCAGCAGTGGTCTCTACTCTGGAGGGAACAACACTGCCCAAAGAGATGGCACTCGAAGAAACGGTAGCTGAAGAAGATGCATCAGCAGCACCTGCAATGTTCATGCAAGCGAAAGAGATTTGCTTCGTGGTCGAAGAAGGCAGACTGCCATATTGACCGGCAGTCCCATCGAGTCTCCAAGTCATATTGACATAAGGCCAGCAGATACGGCCATCAGTCATGGTGACCATATCGCCAGCGACATAGGTATCCATTGACTGGATCGGCTGACCGACCTTCTCGCCTTTGTTCACCAGTTGGAAGTGGGATCCACTGAACGCGCCCTGACAACCCATAGCAATGTTGTCACATTGAGGCTTTTCAATCTGCTCCCAGGTTACGAGAGCATTGCTGCCGTCGAAAGTGGCGACGTGGGCATTGGAGCAGTCAGCTGTACCTGTGGTGAGCCAATTGACCTGCGAGTCGCCGTCTTTGGCGCCAACCACCGACGAGGCTTGTTCACCAGCCATGGTTTGCTTGTCCGAGAAAGTTGCAATGGCGACGTTGCGGCCGTTCGTCCTGTTGGATGAGGCAACATAACCCTTGCCCATCCAGGTGTTTTCGTATAGATCGACAGCGCCGCGAGACACCCAAGAGAAGATATATGAGTCCTCGCCTTGGAAGCGTGCGAGATTGCTGTAGGATCCACTCATGCCGCCCATTGACTCGCCACCAGCACCGTTGGTGGTGTTCTCGTTCGAGATCTTGACTCCGGACAGGTCCATGCCGCGGTTATTGGTGTTCAGCCAGATGTCACCCTGATCTTCGGCGCAGATACTGGCAAATGGAACGGCATCGGCAGCTTCGAAGGCAATACCGGTATTGTGAGAGCAACCCCAGGCACTGGACTCGGGCAGGGTTTCGAGCGACCCATTGGTCGAGACGTACTGGACCGAATCTCCAAAGTGACCTTCGGCCCATCCACTGTAATCGGTGACGACGAAGTAAGCGCCGTACAGTCCGGCCTTTTCTGAATATACCAGATCGCCATTGAGATCGGGGGCTGCAGAAAGACCGTCGCTTTCATGCACGCCAGGCCCGCCCAGGAAGGTCTTGAATGTCTGCTCTCCCTCGGTATATCTGTACAAGACAGGTACAGGAGTGCTACCAGCAGGGGCATCAGCTGTACCAGACGGCAGAGCCTCATTGGTCAACAATGCAAACCCATCATTGTGGGCAACAAGTCCACCGGCCTCCTTGCCTCCCTTGACGGTCACTGCACTGCCGACCGCAGCAAAAGTTTGAGGATCGACACGTTGGATGTGTACATCGGTCTCGCTATTGTCCAGGTACGCGAGGAAAGCACGAGTGCCGTCAGGAGAGAGAGCGAAAGGTGTTCTGCGGTGATGAGGCAGGTCTGTCCAATAGGCCTCTTTGACAGGATTGAAGCTATAGTCCAGCTCGAGCGAGTTGACGTAGTTCTTCAAAGAAGCATTGCTCAAGCCAGCAGCAGCGGCGAGCGACGTGGTGAAAGAAAGAATGATTGGCAGAGAAATCATAGTGTGTATGCTTTGAGGGTCTGAAAACAAGAAAGTAGTGGTAAATGAATGGACGAAAGGAAACCAGCCTTTCTGGGTCAATGAAAAATATGCTGATCGAGAGGACGAGAATCAGGTGCAGTAGGTTTGACGTCTATTATATACACGAGTACCATGTACCAATGCATGCCGTGCCCTGGACTTCAATACCTTGCCCTGATCGCATGCTCACCAAGATGTATATAGGTGGGTTGCTATCACCACAAGAGATGGAAGCTACCAAATTAGGGCATCCCCGACAGTAGCCTCCCGAAACTCGGACTAGCACATTGCAGCTAGGGTTGCAGTTTCTCCAGATACTTGATGTTGGCCTCGATGGAGTCTTCAAAGATCCTCCATGGAAGATATACAGTGAAATCAGCCCACTCACCGAGCTAGGGCTCAGTCTCACGATCAGGTTATCTCTCGTATCAACGGACATCTCTATATTGTCCTACAGAAGGGCACAGCTGCGCATCAGATCAGACGTATGCCATAGGAATGGCCTCAAGATAGTGCATCTCCTTGGGCAACAATTCCTTCTGAAGAATCACTGTGCACTTCTATAGCTATACTATAACATTCTTCACCCAAGGGAGGGAAGATACAAGTGCACACGAACCTCTCAGCTCGCTTAATTGTAAGAGATACAGTCATGTGGAGGTGACTTCGTTTCATGTCTGCCTGGGTTTATTGCGCTCGGCAACTGGGGTCATAGATCTGGACATGTTCATGATCGCACTGCTGTCTGCCTTTTAATCTGTCTTGACTGTCTTGAGAAAAATGTCCTTATGCCTTCAAGGCAGAAAGGAAGCCGACATTCGAGGCAGTCCGAAAGAACAGGGCAGCTCGGTTCTATCTGCCGGCATGTTCGGTACGAGTTGCCGTTTCCTCGCCCCCTTAGATTGCGCCTCGACACCGCCGCGTTGTCTAATTCCTCCGTCAATGAGAGCCAAAGAGTGCTCCGCCGCAACACTCTACGGCCGCAGTCGTTCAATATGAGCTGCCTGAAAAGTCAGAGGCTTACTGTAGAGTACCAGTCTCTGAGGACTCAGCCTCGAGAAGCAAAGTGACGTTGCGATCGACTGGATGCTTGAGCAGTCCAAGCCTCAACCAAGTCGCGCTAGAATGTCTCTGGAAGGTTGGTTTGATGCCTAGAGAGGCAAGATCGATGTACATCATTCATGATAATGAATCCTGCGAACACAGCCGCTTCCTCCAGATTCAAAAGATAGACGCCTGATAGGATGAGCAAGTATACGAAGAGAGTCATGTGGCATCCACCATGCAATCCTTCGAACCTGCCTGATCTGCGAAAGGGCGGGGTTCGTAACAACTAACAACCACTTACACTATATATACACGAGCATACCCCCAGTATCGTGGCTCCATCTCGCAGACGCTCATCACCAACTATCATACAATCGAATATGGGACGACTTTCAAGGGCCTTCTCCAGGGTCAAGGAGACCGACAAGGAGAAAGAAGCAAACGTAACCACCACTGTCGACTCTGTCGAAAAGAGTCCATCGCCGCCCCCTCCGGCTTATGAGGACGCTGGACGTCAACAACACAATGTTCAGCTCTTTACACCATCTGCCAGCAGCTTGCCGCAACTTGATCCAGACTTGCCTAGTCCCGAGGATTGTGTGGCACATCTCAAGCTTCTGGAGTGCTTCTACCGCCTGAAGCAAAAGATTGCAAGTACTGAAGGTCTCTTTGGCATATCTTGTGATGTTGTCGGGGACTTCGACCAGAGCACACCACAGAAGGACACTCAGAAGGAGCCAAAGAATGAGACGTTGACTCTTCTTGCGGAGAAGAGATGGCAAGTCTACGTCTCTCGGGCAGTCGAGCGCTTCGCAAGGTGGAGGTATAGCCTGGAGCCCAACCCTAATTACTACACACTGAACCAAGCTATCTCTTCGAAAGGACAGACACTGGCCGACCGTGTGAATCCCGAAACGGCCAAGCCATTGCTTTTCGATGCTGAAAACCTACCACCCATCGGTAAGTTAACAACCCACTGCTCCAATCCAACCTGCTAACCATCAATTANNGATGTCTTGATGGTCTGGCATTCATACATGTTGAATCCAAGAGCATACCTGGAAGATTGTGCACGCGAGGGCCGTATGCGTCTGTGGCACACGCCGTTCCCATTACTGGCAGTGGCCGACCATTTCGATGCTTCGGACTATCACTATGAAGTGGCAAAGCAAACAATCGCTAGCTTCAGAGAGCAGACTGGACTTGACTGGGATAACCTGGATGGTCCAGGCCACACAAACGTAGAGTGCCACTTCTGCCTTACACAAAATACTGCACCCTGGACTACCTATGGAGAGGCGTCTGCAGCGCTCGGAACACGTCCACAAGAGTCGTTGTCGGACAGGGCTGCCGTTCTTGGAAATGTTCAAGCTCTATTCAGTACTTGTCATGGGTTTGCTGACAAGGAATTCACCTTGACTTGTCAGCAATGCAACTCCAAAATCACGCACGACTCTCTCTGCGTAGGAAAGCTGCGCAAGGACTTGATCAGACTCGTCGAGAAAGACGTCATTTTACCAGGAGGCATCTTAGGCAGAGAGGGACTTCCAGGGAGAGTTGGCAAAGTCTCTGATCCCAACGGCTGGTCGTACTTTGCATTCCCAAGCAAGCTGATGAAGATCGGACGGGCCACACGAATCCTCGATCTCGGCGCCTCGGACATGCAGATGGCGAGCGTCCGCGAAGTCATCGAAGACTATCTCCTCGTCAAAGAACTAGTCAAGCAAGCCAAGCATCACAAAGCTAGTTCGAAAGTCTTCCCAGAAGAAGGTTTGGCTCTTCGTCGCATGATGTCGAGGTATTGGGAGAACTCTTCCGTGTTTGCAATCAATCTTGTCGGTGCAGTGATACGTCAAGGCGACTTTGTGGAGAAGATGCACAATATTGACTGGCTGCACTCGCCTGCGCTGTCGAACACCATACCTCGCCTGATACGCAAGTACTCGCGCTTCATCGCCATCATTTCCCGGTACAGCATGATGGCTGTACCGACACTAGACGTAGACCTCGCCTGGCACACGCATCAGCTCAGCCCCTCCAGATACCTCCAATACACCGTTGCGCAAAGCAGAACCTTCATCGACCACGACGACAAGGTCGTAGAAACAAAACTCACAGACGCCTTTGCCGTTACCAGTAAGATATATCAAAAACTGTATAACGAGCCCTACTCGGAATGCACTTGCTGGTACTGCGAAGCGGTGCGCGAATCGCACACTTCAACCGCATCACGCATTTTCCGCAGCAACGTGGCCACCGCAGCAGAGAACTTGCACGCCGTGCCCTCGGACCCCAAANAGTCCGTCCACATCTCCACACACAATGCCGTGCGGCCCACCGGCGACAAGACCTACGACGACCGTGTCGTAAAACGGCTAGCCGAGCTCGAAAAAGCATACGACAAGGCCTGTCAGCGAGCCGACAAAAAGGGCAAGCAACGTCCCAAGAGAGACGACTATTACTACTCCGACGCATATGGGTATCCAGTGTATATCCCTGCGTATGCACCGTACTATGGCGCCATGCCGTATACACCAGTAGTCTACCCGATCAATCCTGGATGTATGGCGCTGGAAACAGGTGCGGTTGAAACTGTTGTGCCGGCACCTGTGGTGCGGCTGCTGCTGCGGGATCGTGTGCTGCTTTGATGGCTGGGTCGATGGGTAGTACCTGCGGAGGAGTGGGAGGGGGTGGTGCTTGTAGTGGAGGAGGTGGCGGTGGGTGCGGAGGAGGCGGAGGCGGCGGAGGTGGTTGTGGAGGAGGTGGTGGTGGATGCTAGGGTGCCATGATACGCATTTCACGATTTCCTTTGAATATGGATTTCCCATTTGCCGAGGTCTTGCGAACCTCTAATGTGATATCTTATTCTCTCACACCTCTATTAGCCTGACTTCGATGGCATCTATCTTTTTCAACATATATTGTTGCCAAAGTTCAGTCCGTTTTCATATGTAAAGAGAAGGTAGATGGAGAACGATATCGCGACAGGGTCGTTCTCTCAACGATATATTCAAGTAAGCACAATGAATGATTGCAAGCATTGCCGGTGCTCGTCACGTTAAAATTCATCGAGAGTTGGAAGAGTAGTTGTAAAATTCAAGACAACACACGATAAGTAGGATCAAGAACTCTCGAGGTCTCCATACTTGCTAGAGTAATACAGGTCATAAATCGTAAATGATGTATAGCACTCAGGCTAGTGTGTGAAGCTCCAACATGGGTGGGTTATGCTATCAATAATGTCGTTGAAAATAAGAGTCGTCCTTTTTCTTTTCCGCCCTTGGCCTGGCACCTTTGGAGTCACTGCGACGGCGAGGGGGACTCGACGGGCCCAGAACCAAGACGCCAGCTTTCTTGAGCATCGACTCTGTTACTTTTAGAGGCCACACGAAGACGAACCAGACGAACTCTAGAAGCACCGCTAGTGTCTTTGCCAGAGCAGATAGAAGGGCAGCTACGATGCCTGGTTTACTCGACGACTGAGCAGCGACTGCGGCCAAACTCAAAGCATCTTGCAGACGATTCTCCAGAGACTGCAACCGTTGCTCGGTGAGCAAAGTCAAAGTAGTGGCTCGTTTCTCATATCTTCTGACAGCGCGCTCTAGAGCATCCAGACGAGGTTCATAACGCTTCCTAATGTCACTGGAAAGGGCACTGACTTCTTCCTTTTGGATAATCGAGACGCCTGGTGACGACAGTTGGTCGCCGAACTTGTCTTCTAGGATGACCAGGCGCGAGGCAAGCTCGGTGATGGCCTTGTCTTTTCTGCTCATGGCCGAGGGGTCACTGTTGCCACGAACGATACGCTGCAGATGAATGGTCCGATGGGTGAACAAGCGGATCAACTGCCTGATGGGGCGTATCTCGGCAGCGAGAAGGAATATAGTGAGGTTGTAGTCTGACACCAGACCTTCCGAAGGGCGCGAGAGCTGGCCACGGATGACATGCAAAAGGTAGGCAGCACCTGCAGGGAACAAGAAGGTAGAGATGAGAGCAAGGAGCTCGTGCTGGCGGAGACTGGCGGCCGCATCTTCCTGCTCTTGACTTGATTGTGCTCGCTCGGGAGATTGGGGTCGTTGGTCGTCTTGATTCGGATCCTGACTGCTCAATTGGTCCAAAGTGAATTGAGCCTGAGCTGAACGATACCAGTCCCTAGCTTGTCAGTCGGTGAGAGAAGATGGCTTCAAGGAAACATACCAGGGTAGTCTGACGCTCCAGTTGAGGAATAGAGCAGCCAGGCCGAGTAGGATGATGTCAGTGACGAAAGCACTTCCATTGGTGAAGAAGAGGCCGGCGAGGGCGGGCAGAAAAGCAAAGGCCAAGGGGGAGCTGTGCCAGTGCGACAAGTCCTCTGGAGCGGTCGAGTCGTCATCGTCGAGACCTAGGGATGGACGAATGAAGTCACCAGCCGAGTGTCGCGTGTCGTCCAAGCTCGAGAATGAGAGCAGCGAGGAGCGACGGCGAGAGAGAGATGGCTCGATGGGAGAAGCTCCATCGGCGGCAGGAGGACTCGTCTTTGTCGATGAGCGACTACGCAGTGTCAAGGAAGGCGGCAGAGGTAGCGCTGACGATGCACCGGCGACAGGTGTTTGCGAGGCTTCGTCAGGCGAAGGAGGAGCCGACGTCTTGAAGGATGCTTTACTCATGATGCCAGTGGTCGAGGACTGGATGGAAGGAGCGAAGGTTCATGTCATGGTATGCGTGAGACTTGCAACCGTCACCGAGCTACATGGCAGTTGCGTGTCCCTTCCTTCCTCAGTCGTCACAGCTCTTGGTCGCCTTTTTGGCTTCGACCCACCCCTTCGGCTCGCATCATCTGCAGGCACGCCGGGACGATCACTCTCGCCCGCAGATGCGGGGATCTTCGGCCATTCCTCTACGACTCTGTTTCCTGTATCCTACCAAGTCGTCGCACGCGTGTGTTGTTAGCTATCTGTTGGGCAGTTCACTGTGGTACTCTGTCTGCGGTCGGACGCTGCAGATGCTATTGAGCTGTCTACCATCCAACTTGTCTGTCCTCCCAGTGCCATCTACCAGCACTACACCAGATCTCTGCACATCTGAAGCAATGCTCAACAGTGCCACTACCTTGCAGGCGGTAAGTTTTCTAATCCAAGCTGTTTCAATTGTGCAGTAGCCCGGTTTGCTATTCAGCACTTCCCCTACCTGTCTCCCTGAGCCTCGCAGCCCTACCACAACAACCTTGACGCCAGGATCCACTCCACTCCCCTGACTCTTGAAGACACCCTTCTCGAACCGCCATTTCTACATCCCGCTCCGGCACACACAAGGTTTTCCTTGTACCGTTTGCATCTCATACCCATGTGCTCCAAACGTCTACTAGTTTTATCCGATGAGTGACGCCTCGCCCGTTTTCTCCCTCCCAACTGCCGCCTTGGATATATATCACCATCTGTATCCAGGCCCTGGAGTCTCCAAACTACCACGCGATTCAACTCATCTTCCATTCCATCTTCTTTCTTTTCTTGATCGTTTCCTGTTCACAAAAATGTTGGGCAGTCGTTCATAATCCCATACCATGCCTTCGTCTAGGAACATATTCCTCCTTTTCTTTTTGGCGACTATCACTGCTGTTATCGCAGAAACAACTTCTTCTGACCACCCGACACCCTCTACTTCCAGCAGAAGGCTTACTGCTCGCTCGGATACCAGCGCAGATGCATCATTCGATGGCTGCAACTATCAGGTCGAAGGCGTGGGTGCTTTCACTTCCCACTTTGCACTGGACTTCACTACCATGGATGCACTCCCCGACGAGTTGATCGCCAGTACCTATGAAGTCGGCTCTGGACCTTACGCTCCATACTCGCACATCTTCAACCCTAGCAATATAGTACTCGGCTCTGGTCAAGCTATGCAGATGACTGTCCCTGGTGGCCAAACTGCAGACCCTCTGAATACATGTCAATTAGTGACTAGGTATGACGATATACTATATGCCAGTGTACGGACAGTCGCGCAAGCCAGCCCCATCAACGGCACAGTCCACGGTACGTTCCCTGTTTATAATCAGCGCGAGCCTTTGCGCATAACTGATCCTGAACTATACANNGGCTTCTTCATGTACATGAACGACACCCAAGAAACCGACATCGAGATCCGCACAGGCGACCCCCAAAACATCCACTTCACAAACCAACAAACCGCACCCGGCACCGGGGAATCCACATTCGCAGTCCCTGCACCATCCACTTTGACCACTGCCTTCCACGAATACCGCTATGACTGGTTGCCCACAGAAACAAACTTCTATATCGATGGCGTGCAGGTCATGTCGATACGCAGAAATGTGCCTTCGGCGGCTGGCTGGCTGATGTGGAATTCGTGGAGTAATGGGTATGTGTGGACGTATGGGCCTCCAGTGCAAGATAGTGTGCTTCAGATCGCGTCTGTGGAAGCATATTTCAACCGCTCCAGCGTCTCGACTTTGAGTTGCCAGGTCAACACTACAGGGACGGACGTAGCAAGCATTACTGGCGTTCATGTCACCACAAACGCAGCAGCTGTAACCAACCTTCCATCTACATCTCCATCTGCGTCCACGACGACCGAACTCCAAACCTCATCAACAGACGACGGTACGTCCATCCTCAGCACTCAGACGCTTCTTCCTCTTCGCAATGCAACTCAGAGTGCAGAGGAGGCGGCTGAATACATCCTCTTTGGCGAAGAACAGCGCTTATACCAACACTACTCTGCAGGCTATGGTTACTACTGGGATTGTCTTTAGTCGACACATGTATCATGGCAAGGCTGGACCTCGCCATACATCTTCCTCTTCCATTGTGCATACACTTTCGCTCCATAGATTTAGTACAGACTCAAGCAGGACACATATAAAAGCAGAAGCATTATGACCGAATTTTGATATTTGCAAACTCCCCGAAAAATGCCTGTGCTTGCTTCATGGTAGTAAAAGCCCCCGAATCGTTGATCCCACGTTAGAATACAGAAAATGTGTCAAAAAATCATTGATTTTGGCCCATGTCTACGGCCAGGTGAACGCCATCGTCTATGAGTCGACCTCCATCTTCTCTGCGGCCTGACCAGCATCGTTGTCGCTGAGCTCGTGCACCGTGACATATTTGCTAATGTCCTGGCGAGTGATGATCTTCTCGTTGAGGACGGCAGTGGTTCCTCTCTGGAACTTGTAATTCCTCATCTTCTGCTCACGCTTGTTGGGGGTGATGTAGTTTCTCAGCAACGTCGTCTTCTCGGCAGTGATGACACAGACATCGACGTTGGAACCCGAGCCCAGATCGTTCCAGATACCGGCTTGGATGGCGTCGGCGCAGAGCTTGATAGCGTCGTCCTTGTTGAGACCTGACTTCCATTGAGTTTCGAAGACGGACATGGCAGCCAGCGAACCTGAACCCATGGTGACATAGGGGAGCTTGTCGGTGCTGCCGTGAGCGTGGACGGTGAAGAGGTGGCTGCCTGTGGGGTCGACACCAGCTACGACCAGGTAGGCGCCGATGTGACCTTGGTAACGGAACAGATGTTGCTTGAGCATAGTCATGACGGTGGCGACGCGAGGCTTGCGTCCAGTGGATAGGGCGTGCAGTTCGATGTTGGAGGAGATGAGGGCGGTGGTGAACTCGGTGTCGGCAGCGGTACCAGCGCCGGCGCACCAGATCTGAGGGGCAATGTAATGCAACTTCTCGCAGTTCTGTTGGATGGCAAGTCAGTATGAGGGCTGCTAGGAGGAAGATGCAGAGATGCTGACCTTGTCGGCGACGATGGGTCCCGAGGTAGCTCTTGTGTCTGCGGCGATGACGACGCCGCCGTCGTAGAGACAGCCGACAATGGTGGTTCCGGTGCTGGTGGCCTTGGGCAGCGGCACACCCTGTGCGTGCAAGGCGAGGTTGCGGTTGTGCAGCGAGAAGTCGAATCCAGGCATGTTGGCGGTATGTGTGAGAAGAGGGAGGTGATGAGTGGTATAGAAGGCGTGTGATGGTGCTTGACGATGGTCCACTCTTAGACTCGCTGCTGGACAGCTTCCTGGTGGTCCAAGCTCACGCCCGCGCCTTCTCCGCCGCGCCAAACTTGCGCCTTCTATCATTCAATACAGCAACTGCGACCATTCTTTTCGATCATCCGACTCACTATCAGCCAATTTGTCTATCGAGCGCTCCAGCGACACCTCGTATATTACACACAGTCATGGCCGACGTCGACACACCCCCGGTGCAAGAGGCCGCTACGACCGAACAAAACCCCCTCGCGAACATGGAAGTCACAGACTCGGCGGCACTGGTCTCCACGAATCAGGACAGCACTACCCTGGAGCCTAAGAAGAAGACGAAGAAGATTATGGTCAAGAAGAAGAGGAGGCCCGCCAGAGTCCAACAAGAAGGCTTCCAGTCAGAAAGACCCGCTCAAACCGGCACAATTTTCAACATCTGGTACAACAAGTGGTCTGGCGGTGATCGCGAAGATGCCTACTCCTCCAAGCAACAGGCAAAGGGCAGGTGCAATGTTGCGACCGACTCTGGATACACAAAAGCCGACAGCATTCCTGGCAGCTACTTCTGTCTATTCTTCTCCCGCGGCCTGTGTCCTAAGGGCCAGGACTGCGAGTACCTCCACCGTCTGCCAAATTCGCGCGTAGAGAAAGAGGGCGGCTTGGGCGACATCTTCCCTTCCAACGTCGACTGCTTCGGACGTGACAAGTTCAGCGACTACAGGGACGACATGGGAGGTGTTGGAAGTTTCATGCGCGTCAACAGAACTTTATATGTGGGCAGAATTCACACATCAGACGACATCGAGGAAGTGGTCGCCAGACATTTCCAAGAGTGGGGCCAGATCGAGCGCGTGCGCGTGCTGCCAGCTAGAGGTGTGGCGTTTGTGACTTATGTCCACTTGGCCAATGCCGTAAGTCGCCTGACGTAGACTTGAGTCGTTGGAAAGAAGCTGACAAGCATACAGGAGTTCGCANAAGAGGCCATGGCGCATCAACCGCTAGACAACAACGAGACGCTGAACGTGAGATGGGCAACTGTCGATCCAAACCCGCAAGCCCAGAAACGAGAAGTGCGTAAGATCGAGGAGCAGGCAGCAGATGCGATTCGCCGTGCTCTACCAGCAGAGTACGTGGCCGAGATCGAAGGTCGTGGTGAAGGATGGGAGGAGGCAAGAAAGAGGAGAAAGGTTGAAGGCACATTTGGATTGGCCGGATACGAAGCCAGCGACGAGGTGTGGTATGCATCGGAGAAGGCCAGACTTGGAGCACCACAAGAGCCATATCTGCTCGAAGCTGGTGACCTAGAGGACGAGGACGAAGGTGCACCGCTCCGGATCGAGGACATGAAAAGACAGGAGTCCTCATCTGGAATTCTTGGAGGATCAACGCTGAGTGCATTGAAAGGCTTCACAGCAGGCTCAGGAGCGGCGGCCAGCAAGGCTCCGGACAAGCCTGCGGGCCCACTGGTTGGATATGGGAGCGATGATGACAGCGATTAAGGGGTCGAATTCGAGATGCATATAGTCCTCATTGAACATCACCACCAGACTTCACCATAAGATTGTACGAGTGTTTTGTGACTGGCTACTGTTGCATGCATACGGCGATAAGATATGGTCGCTGGTAAAGGCCGAGCTGGCACGCGGCGGCCAATGAGAGCGGCTTTCCCCCACAAAGTGGTTCCAGAAAAAGTCTCGTAAAGTTTGAGAAAGAGCAGCGTCTTTCCTGCTGCAAGTGATTTTTGTTTTCTCAGTCGCATTCGACATTACATCACAAAATGGCACCTAGTCGTCGTATGCAGAAGCAGGGTGTGCCCGAGCCCCTGAACGAATCACTGGTTTCGAGAAAGAGAAAGGACGCGCCTCCGCCGCCAGAGGCAACATACAAGAAGCGCAGAACCGACCCCAACAAGCCCAAGAACTCGGCCGGAAAGACGACAACCAAGGGCAAATTCGCAGCAAACGGAAAGACACCAAAGACGGTAGCCAAGAAGGCTCAGCAACTGGTTGAGTCCGACGACGAAGACATCGAAGACGACTCAGATGCCGTTGACGATTTGGGCGTCCTCGAGTCGGACGACGAGCCTGCTGAAGATGACGACTTTATGGACTCAGATGACCCGGACGTGCAACGCGCCATGTGGTCAGAGGATGAAGATGCTTCGGACGCTGAGGAGATGCTGAACGCCGCCAACATCGCTGGTCTCTCGGGTCGCCTTGATGAAGAAGCCGCCCAAGAGGCTGCTGATGCACAAGCTGAACTCGAGGACGACGCTATGCAGACCAACATCGCTGCCGCCGACATTCCCGAGGACGAAGACGACGACGAGGCTGCCCAACGAAAAGCCACCCTTGCTCCCGACCTCCAGCTGCTCCGCACCCGTATCACCGAAACCACCCGTGTCCTGACCAGCTTCAAGGAGCTGTCCGACCCTTCGCGCTCGCGTGCCGACTACATCAACTCGCTCCTCAACGATATCTGCGCCTACTATGGCTACTCGCGCTTCTTGGCCGAGAAGCTGTGGAGGCTATTCACCNCTCAGGAGGCCCTTGCCTTCTTCGACGCCAACGAGACTCCTCGCCCTCTGGTCATCAGAACAAACACCCTCCGCACTCACCGTCGTGACCTCGCTCACTCTCTGATCAACCGTGGTGTTACTCTTGAGCCCGTCGGAAAGTGGAGCAAGGTTGGTCTGCAGGTTTTCGAATCGCAGGTCCCCTTGGGTGCCACTCCCGAATATCTTGCTGGACACTACATCCTCCAAGCTGCCAGTTCGTTCTTGCCCGTCATGGCTTTGGCACCGCAAGAGAATGAGCGTGTTCTGGATATGGCTGCTGCTCCCGGTGGTAAAACAACATACGCCGCTGCCCTGATGCGCAACACTGGTGTCATCTTCGCCAACGATGCCAGTAAAGTCCGTGCCAAGGGTTTGATCGGTAACATTCACCGTCTCGGTGTCAAGAACACCATCGTATGTCACTACTCTGCCTTGGAGTTCCCCAAGGTCATGGGTGGATTCGACAGAGTTCTCCTCGATGCTCCTTGCTCTGGTACCGGTGTTATTGCCAAGGATCAGAGTGTCAAGACCAACAAGACCGAGGCCGATTTCCTGCGCCTGCCTCATCTCCAGAAGCAGCTTCTGCTCGCCGCCATCGATTCAGTAGACCACGCCTCAAAGACTGGAGGTTACATCGTGTACTCAACATGTAGTGTCACAGTCGAGGAGAACGAGCAAGTTGTTCAGTACGCTCTCAACAGACGCCCCAATGTCAAGCTTGTCAGCACCGGCCTTGTATTTGGTAAGGAGGGCTTCACCAGCTTCATGGGCAAGAAGTTCCATCCTAGCTTGAAGGAGACCAGAAGATACTACCCCCACGCCTACAACGTTGATGGTTTCTACGTCGCCAAGTTCAAGAAGGTTGGCCCTACACCTGCAAACGCCGTCAAGGCACAAGGCTCGGAAGAGCAGAAGCAAAACGTGAAGAAGGATGGAGATGAGGAGATCATCGACAGAACCCCTATCAGCGAGGAAGCCGAGAATGACGAGTTTGGTGGCTTCTCGGACTCCGAGGACGAGGCCATCATCCAACGTGCCCGCGCGAAGCAGCTTAAGAAGAAGGGTCTCGACCCCAAAGCCACAAAGGCCACCAAGAAGCCCAAGGAAAAGGAAGTCACATCTGAGGAGCCCAACGCCGAAGATCAAATAGAAGAGAAGGCCGTGAAGTCGCCATCAGGCACAAAGAGCCCCAAGGTAGCTGAGAAGCTAGTCAAAGACGGTGTCAGCGAGGTCGGTGGCCATGCTGTGGGAACCTCAACGGAGGCTCAAAGCAAGAAAGAGAGGAGGAGTCTGAACAAGGCAGGCAAGAAGGCCAAGGCTAGCCCCAAGTCCAAATAAGTTCTTCTTTATGCAGCGGATATCAATTTGACATATTTCATCACAGTAGTACAGCTGCTTACTTTTTCGTTCCACTCGAAGGCTTATTGAGCATGTGTACATGTTCACATGTCTAATCATGTCGTTCTGTGCTTTCAGCAACTCCGTCCAACAAAGACAAGCATTTACCTCACAAGATAATGTCCATCAGAGGTGGCTTGTGTGGTGATAAGTGAAATCAATCAGACGATCGTGCTCTCACATGCTAGCTATATCAGCAGTCTATGTGACTGCTTCAAGACGTGCCCCTTGGCATATAAACTCTTCGACATGGCCCGTTTGAGAAGCCCTCTGCTACATTGAAACCCACATTACATCCTAATGTCCACGCTACCCGAGGCTAGGCAAAAGTGAGTTTCTCTTCGATAGTTGACGCTGTCATCGTGTTCTAATCCTGTCATCTGCGAACAAGTCTGTCACTGTCCACAGATTCACTTCTGCACAACACATCAGCGGCTTCCGTCCACTTCTCTGCTGCTGGTCTCTTCCTCAGTCTCTTCCATTCAGTCCCCTCTTCTTCTTTTCCTCTCTTCAACTCTTCCATTCATCAACCCCCCAAACAAGTCTTTCTTCATTACCTCTTCTAAACAACACTGACAATGGCTCCGATCACAAAGGACGAGCACATTGTCCTCCTCTTCTCCTGTATCAAGAACAGCAAAGGCGCAGGCCAAGTCGACTGGAGCGGCGTCGCCACAGACACCGGACTCACCACTAACGCCGCGTACGTCTTCTCTCCTTCTCCCCTCACACGTCTTGCGCATTTCACCCAGCTGACCAAGCAACCCGCCCACCCAACAGTTNCCAAGCGCTACAACAAACTCGCCGCCGACTATGGGGTCCGTGGAGTACTGCGCAGCAGCGCTGGCCGCGTTTCTACTGCTCGTGCCAAGAATCGCGCTGGAGATGAAGAAGGAGAGCAAAGCGACGCGCAAGAAGATCCGCCGCGAGCAAAAGGAAAGGGACGCCAAACGCGCAGACAAGGAGGAAGCGCGAAGAAGAAGCGCAAGATGAAGCACGACGACAGCTCTGAAGCTGAGGCCGAAGTCGAGACTGAACAAATTGTCGATTACGATGCTTTGGATGCTGTTGAGGGCGAAGAGGATGTCGTCAAGACTGAGCTTAACACTGAAGACGGCGATGAAGAGGCGAGTCTTGGAGATTGGAATGTATGTGGCTGAGATGACTGACTATGCCATAGGCTATGGCTTGATTGCCTATCACGACATCGATATCCTACTCTTCTGCCAGCGTTGCAGTAGCGATTTGAGCACCAACACAACGAGGATAACGAACCTCTGCAGCAAGAAGACCTGCACACTTTGGAAGGGAAGGGGAGGGCCCTGTTTTTCTGTCTTTCTTTCCACTTTTTTTACCATCGATGGCCCCCTTCCAGAATGTTTCCAATGGAGAAATGAAACTGCTTTTTCACACTCTGCTCGTCCAATCCGAACTTACTATGTTCTATTCCCCGATGTATCTCCAATATTCTGTGTGGTTTGCTGATATGAGCCTGGCAAAACACCAAACACCAAACACGGTGCGAGTTTTGTCAGAAGTGACCACGTCCAGCAGAAACAATTACTTTGCGAAGGCGATACTTTTGTTGCAAAGGCTGTCATTTGTACAGGTAACCTCTCGAATGATGGTTTGAAAGGAAACGGCCACGAGGCACGAGGCACGAGGAAGGCAGGCTCGCCAAGCCTTTGACGGCGTTCACCGTCATCCCTTCCAACGACACCTCGTCCCCTCGGTCCTCTGAGTCTACCTACATCTTCTTTGATCCATGGCATCTTTGCTTGCTCATACTGAAGCTTGTAAATAGCGACGCATATGTACAGCTGCTATTCCTGGATCGACTGTACGATCAAGCACACTACGAGGTCTTGTCAGATGACTCTGCTGTTGGCTTGAATGCTTCGAAATAACTGCAACATGTGAAGACCTGCAAGCCAACTCGAGCAAAATGAGCTTCCTTATGCTGGTACTCCAGCGGCGGAAGGCAGGCTGTCGACTCCGACGCCTCCAAATGTAGGCTTGATACTCACGAATATTTTGCCCAGAACCTTGACATCAGATAGAGGGGAACACGCACTTCAGGATCATTCGCCCCTCTAGCATTCAGCCCCGAAGAGCAAGAACATACACAATTCTCTGGTCTTGGACAGCACCGAGAACTGGAACAAGCATTTGGCTACGCAGGCGTCTCCAGGTCTTGCTGGTGCCTTTAGATTATGAAGCTGCGCTATCTTGGTACTTAAGGTCGGACCAGGTTGGACTCTCTCGATTCGTTCCGTTAATTGCTCTTTGTGTGCTTGTCGTCGTCGGACTGCTGTGACTCGTGTGAGGGGGCAACACTTCGTTCTTCCAAGTGAAAGCCTGCGACAAGTCGGCACAATCGCGCGACCCGCCAATCGAATAAGGTCCGCCGACATCGTGACTTCCTCTCTTTTCTCTACATCTCCGCTTTCCACACTCGTGCTCTTTCTCCCACCAGCTTGCCAATTTCAATCCACTCTCTACAACTTCCTTGTGTCTTCCAATCCTCCGACTTACCAGCTCTTACAAACATCAACCCCTCTTTCAAAAGATCCACCAAATCTATCAAACAACAATCCACGATCTAACAATATGCCTGGTATCACCTGGGACGGTAAGGAACAAGGACTTATTGCTTTGTCTTCTTGAATGTCACTGACTGTCACAGCTGAGGCCGATCGCAAGATTCTGCTCGCAGTCTTGAAAGACCCTAGCGCTTCTGCAAACGTCGACTGGGATGCTCTCGCTGCAGAGCTCACCACCGATGCCGCTACCTGCACTGTTGCAGCCTTGAAGAAGCACATCTCTCGTATTCGTGTCGCTGCCAAGAACGACAATGAGTAGGCCTTTGCTCATCCAAGACTTGAACGAATCGTACTGACTATCGAACGCATCAGTGAGGGCTCTGACAGTCCTGCTCCCAAGACTNCCTGCTCCCAAGAAGGGAAAGGCTAAGGCCAGCGGGTAAGCTGCAAGACCAAAACATGCTGACACGACATCCCATACTCATTAACCTTTCCCAGTACTGCTGGATCTGCTGCTGGCACCAAATCCAAGGGCAAAGCCAAGGCTGCCCCCAAGCGCAAGGCTGCCTCCGACTCGGACGACGACGACGAGGGCACTCCTCTGACCAAGAAGCTTCAGAAGGCTACTACTGGCCAGGAGGAACTGAAGATCAAGGCCGAGAACAGTGATGCTGAAGCTTAGATTCACCTGCATATTGCACTGAGGCCATCTCACGTCGGATGTGCTCAGGTCTGGTGGTTTTCGTTTACTGCTCCTTTTCTTTCTCAGTCTGTAACACATACCCTATTCCACTGCAGCAAGCAGTATCGGCGAGTGGCAATAACAAGCTGACAATGATGGCACTTATCCACACTTGAATCCTACCTTCTTCTTTCTGCTCTTCTCAAAGATCTCGTGGTTTTTTCGTTCATGGTAGTAGGAGGTGCTGACAGGCAATAGCGATGCGCGAAACGTGTTCGATGCGACGGGTACTGCTTGTAGCCTTGCCTTTCACCTCTGACCTTCGACGTGAGTATTGATACCACACAATGGATCTTCTTCAAGAATGCTGACAAGCAATAGTAACGCGTCGAATGCGACGGTACTGACCTGTAGTTTCTCTGCTCACCCTTTCGTTCGACGTAAGCATTGACAACATTCCAGAGATATTCTTCAAAAATGCTGACAAGCAATAGTGATCTGCCGAGTGCGTCAAAGGCGACGGTACCGACCTACAGCCTTATTATTGGACCTGATGTTTGACTGTTGACACAATCACCCATATCACTTGACGAGGCATGGACAAGCAACCGCAGTATGCCGAAAGCGTCGGATGCGGCGGTACGGGCCAACTGCCTCTTCTTGGATCTGGAGTTCGCGGTAAGTACTGACACTACTCCATGCATCTGTGTCAGAAAAGCCAACATGTAACAGCAACGTGCCGAAACTTTTGAAATCCACGGTACTGGCCCACGGCTTCCTTTCTGGGTTTGGCGTTTGACACAAGTCTCAATTTATCTCAATGCGTTCTCTTGGGCCGAAAGTTTCGAATGCGACGACACTGGGCTACAACCTTCTCCTGGGACCTGATGTTCGACACTTTGAGAAGTAACGAGATCAATCGATGGTCTTCTTTCCAAGATATCGAATAGAGGTAGCAGTGGCCGAAAGTGTTGGATACCGCGTTACTGGCTCATAGCCTCCTTCTTGGACTCGTTGTTTGGCATGAGTATCCATGTTAGACAATGATGTTCATCAAGAGACACTGACCGTACGCCGGTACTGACTATGTGTCGACACAGGCCATCTGTCTATTCCAACATTCAACGGGTGTATCAAAAACGCACCGTAGTTGTTTCGAGATTACTGATGGCACATAGGAAGTACTCGTATGCCGAACATGTTTCCGCCTCGACGATGTCAGCACGACGATATTGTCCTTCTTCTCGGCAGAGTCCAGTCACTCATACTTACTGGTGTCTGCATAGAAGTCCTCAGGTGTTTGCTCAAATACTCGACCATACTGCTTTGACGGGTTCTGAATCTCCATGTCGATCATATTCGCTGGTCGTGCAACTTGCGGCGTATGCCATTCCTGTGGAAGGCCTCCAAGTACGTCGAGTATGCCTTATGCTAGAATTTTGAACTAGGTCGATACATGGACGGCATTAGCAGCAATGTGCCTGTTCCATGTACCTTCCGCTCGTGTATGGACCCTTCGATTATTGCCTCTGCAGCCGGATCCTCTGGTCCTTCAAAAGCTCCGGCTCGGCCAAGTTGAAATCTGGGACAGTAAGCCAGACGCTGTCACATCCACACACGTCTCTATCCATTGCTCAGAAGACACCGTCAAAGAGGATCTCTTGCTTGCCCAGGAATGTTGCCGTGACCTCCAAGGTTTCTTCCAAAAGGCAGTTGCCAAAAGATGCAATCGCTGGATAAACATATCCAACATGCCAGCCAGAAGCTCTTGACCAGGGAATGAACCAAGGAATTCGTTTCGTAACGACTAGGATATTGGAGAGCGTGTTCCGGGAGAGAATAGCTTTGGTCGTACTGAATGTCTGGATATGACAACTAGTCTCGATGATGCTGCAAGCTCGGTCGAAGAATACAGCTCCCGGCTCCTCAAGGGATGCACTCCAAGTCCCGTAAGGGTATTGCATTGGATGTTCAATGAATGGTCTCAATGAGCCGGTCGAGGTAGCCGTTGATGGGAACATGGGTGCTGATGGCTTTGAGGAAATTCATGATGTTAAAGCTCGCCGGGACTTTCTCACTGAGAGTTGAGCTCGTCGGGCTCGTCGTTGACACTGTCGTCGTCTTCGCTAGTCAGTGGTCAGTGCTCAGGTAATCGGGGCTCGTCGTCGATATGGCCGGCATCCTCGTTGCCGTCGCTACCGGCCTCGGGCCCGGCTGTTTGGTGGCTAGGACCCGGTTTGTTTGTTGTACCGTAAGGAGACCACTATTTGCTTCACTTACACCGTCGAGTCTCTTCGACACTCTGCCCCGACAATTTCTATTGACGGTACCCCGACGCTTTCTTCGACAGTGTTTCGACGCTTTCCTCGACACTTCCCTCGACACTTCCCTCGACGCTTCCTCGACGCTTCGACAACAGTCACTCAATCATTGCTTCCTCTCTACATCTTATCTCAGCATCTCATCTCGACTTCTTCTTCCTTCGACATCCATCCTCTTGTAAGTACGCTTCTATCCATTGCGCACGCTTTGCTTCTCAAACACCACCCTCTGCACACACTGCTCTCTGCACACACTGTCCTCTTCCTTGACGTTGTTCCCATTTCACTCCAGATCTTCCTCGCAGCCACCGTCAACGCAACGTACACGTAAGCGTCGAACCTACTGACGCTCAACTGCGCAGCCCATTGCTGTTCTCTCTCGACGTTTAGTCTTCTCGACAGCGTCTTTGTTCAGCGCCACCTGCGTCTATTGTTCCCACACATCGTAAGTTCGATTTCCTGTTCTTCTGGCCATGGCGATCATCTTTCCAACTGCCCACACTCTGCCTTCGCCGTTGCGGCTCCTGCCCTCCAAGTCTAGCTCATCCCATAGCCAGACACTAGCTCTTGACGCTTCTCTCTATAGAGCCATGTCTTTGCTTTTGTCTGCTGTTCTTTTTGCTTTCCATCCATTACCCTCTTCCTTCTTGTTCGTGTTGTCGAAGATCTTCCCTCCACGAACCACTGCTCTCGCTTGTATCGGCACCGACCGTTTTTGTTTGAGTCCGGTCTGTCGAGGAGTGTTTGTCTATGAGCTTTTATCGAGGAGCCTGTCTTTCGTCGAGGTGCCTCTTTCTCGTCGAGGTGCCTCTTTTTCGTCGAAGAGCCTGCCTCCCATTCCTGTCCTTCAGTTCACACACACCTTGTCGAGACTTGTTCATCGTGAACGACGACTGCTTGTCAACCACCTCCTCCCGTCTCCTTCCACCCTCCGTCTCAACCTTACCTGTCCCCCTTTCTTCCACGTTCCTTCTTTTCTACTTTTGCTTCCACTTTCCACACCTCTTCCTCCTTCACTTCACTTCCACTTTGTTGAGAGACAGTCGCCTCAACGACGTCGTTCGACGAAAGTCGCTCGCTCGACGCGTTATCGACGAGTCGACGACGACGACGCCGTCTCCATCTTATTTGTCCCCTGCGCTTCTGTCTTATTTGTCTTCTACCACTTTCACTCTTCAATCACAATTCGTTGGGATCGACGCTTTCGACCCCGACGTTTCGACGATTCGACAAAGACGACGGCCTCTTCTCAATCCTCTCCTTCCTTTTCCTCTCCCTCTTCCCTTCTATACCTTCCATTGCCTACTCGCAATTTGTTGAAAGAAATTCTTCTTGACGAGACCCCGTTTCGACTCAGCTCGACGATACTTCGATCGACACTTTCACTTCATCCAACCTTTGCTGACTCTGGAACGGACAGTCTTTCTCAAACACTACAGTGCTGTGCACTTTGCTTGTCCAGAAGATTTACTTCCCCATTTTTGAGTTCCGATCAAGATTGTTGACCAGAGGTCTCGTAAGTACAAGCTCCCACCATACTTCTCTTGCTACTCGCCCAAGCATGTCTCCTGACACTCAGCTAACCTGACTACAGATACATCATGAGTGTGGACATCGACACATTCCTCCGTCAGAACGAGTCTGCCTACGATGCAGGCTACTCGCACGACATGGACGACTCTAGCCACAACAGATTGGAGATGGACGACTTCAAGATTCACGACGACTACAACGACACCTTGGACCTTGATGTCTTCAGCAGCAACAACGTGAACGCTGGCCATGGTAGCCTCTCCTTTTCCAACAACATTGCTCAACAACCCTTCATCGCTCCGTCGAGTCTTGATGGCTACATGTCCTCGCAGAACACAGACAACAGCCACGAGTACCGAGCTTTTGCTGCCCCTTTCGATGTCAATGGACATGCTGCTTCTCGGGACTTGCAGTGCGGTAGCCACTATCATGGTTCTGCTGCTCCTTCTGGCCCTGGCGGTCGCTCTTTCCATCAAAGTTCGCAGTACGGCCACGAGCAACAGCAGATCGCCGTTCCTTCCGGCTTCAACGGTTTTGCTTCCAACCAGACCGCACAGCAGAGTCAGGATACCTCTGTCATTCTCACCAACGCCGAATCTGAAGACATCGCGGACTCGGTCGAACATGCAAACAACGGCGTCGAAGAGGGAGTTGCAGAGGACGAAGTTATTCTGAAGAACGAAGAACGTGACTCCGATCAAGAGTTCGAAGAAGAGGACGAGGACGGAGGCGACGAAGACGATGACGAAGACGGCGATGGCCAGAACAAGAAGAAGAAGCGCAAGCCATACAGCCAATCTCGCTGTCTCATCCGCTGGCACAGTAAGTTCAACAGATATTTGTCGCAAATCATGATATACTAACGCGATGACAGCCGGCAAAGACCAACTCGCTCTGATGGCCATGGTCTACGAACTCGAGCTAATGGGTGTCGAGATACCATTTGGCAAGATTTGCCAGCACATCGAACCTAGATGCAACCCGAACGGAGATGCATTGACACAGCATCTTATCAAGGCACGCAAGGCCCGTATCTGGTACGGGCTGGCGGTACCACCGCCAAACACAAGAGGGAGGTCAAGGGCCAGAAAGACGTAGACAACCCTCAAGACGTCACCGAAAAGGATATCAAGATTTGGAACA